TTTGAACAATGTCTATATTTCTCTCTCTCTCTCTCCCTCCCTCTCTCTCTCTCTCTCTCTCTCTCTTTCTCTTCTACTCATATCAATGACTTAATCGTTTCTTTCATTATCTTTATGGTACATAATATTTTCCATACCTATTTCGTACAATTATACCTTAATAAATCTCTACGAATCGAATATTTTCCAATTCTAATCGTATATTTCATTTAAACGAACGTACTTTTCACTTGTCTTTAATTTTCTTTGTCGTAAAATAGGGCTATCGATATACATGAAATTAAGAAACTTTTTGACATTTAAAAAAATATCGTCAATGCAATGATGATAGAAATATACCTGTCGACTATGCGGTATTAAAGGCACAGAGCGCATGTACCGCGTTAGCATCCAGAACGAGCACGTTTTCTTGCGCACGGATGTACGCATACACGAGAAGGCGTATCCTATCAAGGACGTTTCGCAGCATGTCCTTCTCTCTCCCTCTCTCTTTTGTACTTATTCGCTCTCCCTGTTTCAAAGTTAGGTCGAGAGTATTACCGCGCATGACCACGGACGAAGGGAAATATTCGCGAATCGATAAATCGCGAGCAGCTGCAGCAACAGCAACGGGTTAGTCACGCGAACGACTAGCCCATTTGATTATTATTCGTGCAATTCGCGCTGTGGTAACCTCTAAATTATAGTTGCCTTTGCGACATAGCGAGATTGTAGAATAGGTCAAGCATCAAAGTTTATCCGATCGAGACGTCTGGACAAACGAAATTTCAAGAACTTAAAAAGATAAGGATTTGAAATCTTAATCAGAGTCACACGAGTACACATCGGCTCTGTTTCAGTCCCTATCGAAGGAGGTAAAACGTGGCGATCGTAGTTGTCAGTGGATCAATCGGTGTCGCCACTTTACGCTTTCACTTAGAATCTCACTGCATACTAGGTTATATCAGAAAACTACTGATCATGTATAATTCGCATATATCGTGTCACTTCATTTATAGTTACATTACTTCGCAACAAAACTGCCAATTTTAGATTCTCTGAGACGTACAACTTTTACAATCTGATATTGCGAAAAATATGAAAAAATTATTTATGATAGCCAAATATTCGTCAGGAAAGAAATTTTCGCAGAAGAGGTTACTGGAATGCCTGACCACAGGTGGATGTCGTTCACGGCATATAACTTGCCAAAGTGAATAAAAGTAGCAGCGGCTTGTATTATGGGCCAACTTCAAACGCTAACAATCGTAGAAATGAAAGGTGCAGAAATTAATTACAACCCTGTAAAAATTACACGGCCATTCAATTTTGATGATACTTTTCATTTTATGCTTTTAAGGACAGTTATCGAAGCATTACTTCGAATAGCACATAATTATCAACAATGCTACGTCTTATAATATGACGACTAATAGATCTTTATTGACCACAGATACTAACTCGTTCGCACTCATTATCACTGCATCGTTTGAGCTCTCTAATATCGTAGACTAAACTTTAATAAATATATAAGTTTAGTAAGTATCCTCAAAATATCATTTCCTTTTTCAATAACAAGCATATCCCATAATGCCAAATTTATCAGTTCAAACACAGATAAATTGCACATTTGGTGAACTTGATTGCTTCACGTAAACATTACATTCTTTTTTCAGGTGTTACCTTACTGAGATTAACACTAACAGATGAGGTGTATAAAAACACGATGTACAAAACAGAGGAAAAATGAAAAACACAGTGGTTACGATAACATATAGATAAATGTCTCGTTTACATACACAAATTGCACAACGTTTTAAACGTACATATTAATTTGTTTCCTTATTTAATCCGATATTTTTGCAACAACAATGATACATGTTACAAACACATACAATAGAAAATTTCATGTTGACGAATCGACTTGAAAATAATTATTTGTTGAGCACGATAAGATAATTGTTTATGATTTTATATCCATAATACATTTTTTCTCGTCACGCGATACGCTAAACATTATATAACATTTTTTTTCTCGAGTATGCGGAAGCGATTGCAACAATAAAACATCGATGAATTGCGACCCGTTGCAACGTTATCTAACATATGTATATACAAGATTTCGTAACTCGTTTCGAATGTATATATTCAAATACTATCGCTATATTATCGCCTATTATCTATTATAATAATAACATATTATTCGAATAATCATGAATACAGAGTTATTTGCTTACACCGGGTCATCGCAAATATATCAAATTGTCGTGTAAATCGATAGAAACATTTTCATTTATCACTATTACGTTGATATCATGGAAAGATCGTGTTGAAATAATTAAAACAGATTTTAGTTATACATATATGTATCGGAAACAAACTGGTTGGTAACATTGAACGTGCCCGATTTTGTGATCACCGCTTATAAAAAAGCAGCAAGAGGTAGAAAAAGGGATGTCAAACAAGTATAGGTAATAGAAGAGGAAAGATCAAGAGGATGAATAAGAAAGATTCAGTGGCGGAGGAAGAAATCGGGGTTGCTGCGATAGCGAAGGTGGAGAGGATGAGGCTATTCGGAAGGTTGAAGAGGCCGAAGCTATGAAGAACAGAGCACGATCTTTTCTCGTCATCGTGACCGTCTCTGGCCGATTTTTGAACAAGGAGGCGAATTCAAACGGCATTGTGTCGTCACGTGCGGCCACTCGCGCTCTCTCTCAACAAAACACTGTTAAAACCTCTTCCCTCTGTACAACCGCAAAACTTTTTTACATTGTCCCTTCTATCCACCTGATCCGCTGCCTTTTTTTATCCTGATCATTTTTTTTTTACCCTAAATTATATATTTTTTGTCTTTTTCTTTTTTTATATATATGTAGCATGTTCGATTACATTTTCCATTAAACGCAATTACTAATTTACTGCTTATACGAAAAAAAAAAAGATTCAGTTGTCATATTCGAAATATGTAGCTTTCACTTTAATATACGTTACTGTTATTTCATAATATTAATCTCAATTATTTTCTTGCATCAGTATAATATAACTGGATATAAATTGGATAAGCTCCAACTGATCTATTATACGTATATCAATCCTGATATTATGTGGACATAATAAGGTATACATAAAAAGAACGAATATAGAAAACAAATATTTCCAATATATTATAAAACATACATAATTCCTTTCTCTATTTATTCAAAAACTTTTGATTCTTTCAAATTTCTTAGTTAATCTGTCGCGATAGCGGTATCAAAAAATACATATGGTAAAACACAAAATATAAATATTTTTTTATTTTTATTCGAATAATACAACTAGCATTAAACAATACCATGATAGCAAGTATAATCATTCGATTCGAGCATTAAAATAATCAAGTAAAAATTCATTCTGTAACATTCTAAAATGTTCATATACATATATACACACACGCGTGCACATACACACACATACATACATGCGCATATACATATATATATATATACACATATGCATTCATACATACATACACACGTACATACATACATACATGCATGCACACACACACACACACACACACACGCACGCACGCACGCACGCACACACACACACACACACACATATACACACACGAGAACACGCTCGCATAATAAAATTACACATACCGGCTATTTACACAATTTTATACAACTTCTCCTTTGTTCCTTTCTTCCAAAAAATGTATTTAAACATTAATCAAATCACAGTAACCATCTCCTAATTTCCATAATTTATTTCTCCATTTCTATTCACATATTTTCTATATATAATACATATTTTTATCAACAGTATGCAGTCAGATTTCAGATATCTTTTGTCCTATTATTAATAAACTGAAAACTTCTCCCCTTCCTCTCACTCTCTTTCACACACACACACACACACACACTCACACACACACACACACACACACACTCACAGATTATATATATAGAAAATTTTGTAGAATTTGTATGGAAAATGGTATGTCAAAGATATCCAGTTATACTTTGTTACATCTGTTTAGAAAATCAGTTATGGATACTACATGCTTATGACTATCATGTTCCTCTAGAAAAATTCAATTTGATTAACATAATGTAACATAACACTCAACATGTTCGCCATACAAAATTTTATCTTTAATTATATCCTATGTCCTGCATTGAAGAAAATCTTATTTTTGGTCTTCTAACTTACGTGTGTACGTGTGTGTTGCGCGTACACGCGCGCACACAGATACATCACACACGCACACACACAATAACAAATATTATTTACAAACTTATATTGCAGATCATGTCGTTAAAAAATATTTTTTCCCTCATTATATATAATATATGCATATGTGTATATGTGCGCACGTGTGTGTACGCGCGCGCTCACGTATGTGTATATAACCGATAGTCATTATTTAACATTTATGAAATAACTCTAAATTATATTTTTTTGACTACTAAAAAAAATATGTATACTGTGGCAACTGAACAAAGATAAAAATAAATGTATATTAATTAATTGCTGTGTGCAAAAATAAAATATCTAGGCCGTATAAAACTGTAAATAAAGCTCTGAATTTTTAAACATTTTAAATATCAAATTCGTTAATAAACTTAATACTAATAAAAATTTTGGTTAGAATAACGTTTTAAATAAATCATAATTTTTAATGAATTATATCCTTATGTTTTTAAAATACTTCTTAAACTAATGAACATATCTGAAAAAGTAAATGATGCAAATCATGCCAAAAAAATAATTTGCAGTCTTAACTATCAAATAACTACTTTTATGTATTTAAAATGACTTCCAAATATAATAAGCTAATAGAGTAACGTTGATTCTTACTATTTAAACAATGGCAGATCATTTTCAAGAAGAAATTTTCGCTTACCTTTGTATAAAATACACGATGTAAAAAAAATGCTTGAAGAACGACGAACATTGGACCAATGAAATAAGTTTGCAAAACATTTGCAAACCATTTAGTCGACAAAGATACAAGTGATCATAAATATATTTCGGACACTTTAGTTCTTTGAAATAATAGATTTAAAGCATTCAAAATACTTTTTCTTTTCATAGTTACAAATTATTAGTAATCTATAGCAAATTTTGTAACTTTTTAATTTATGCAGAAATGTCGGTTTCTCCGGAATCCGTGTTAATGACATTTGTAGCTTCACTTTCGATTGGTACGATAGATACATCCGAATTTGACGTTTGTGAATTCGCTACAGCTCGTGTATTGCGATTTGCAATTTGAATGACAGGAACTGGATACTTTTGAGCATCCGAATATAAATTCACTGTATGTGGCTTGGTACTGCTCACAGAACATTCCAATTCTGGTAACTCGCCTAATTAAATAATTAAAGTTTCAATTTCTTTTTTCTTTTTTTCTCATTAATTTAATCATTAACCCTCTCAGTGATAGTGACTACAATTATCCAATAAATTATGTAGTTATTAATTGATAATGAATCATTAAATTATATTTTAGTAGGAGGGTTAATAAGAATGTACTTAAGTAATGTTTAAAAATAATTCTTACCATTGATGCTATGAATATCAAATACCCTGAAAACAGTTCCACTGGATGGTTCACCAGCACTCATTCTAGCTTCCTCATCTGGACTGTCAAAAGATTGTTCAGAATCAGAATTATTACTTGAATGAACCACATCTTGCTGTCTTGATTGCGATCTTCTAGCACGGTTAAAAGGATTCTCTCTCTGGCTTGAAAATGTTCCACCTTGAGTGCCTAATAAAACATTCTTACTTTTATAGAATATAATTTACTGTGATACAAATAATTTTGTAACTGTATCTTGTAACACGGGGAAACAAAGGTTCTTTATACCTTGATAACCTTCACGAATAAGAGGTGTCGTATCGTCGGCATCCGAATCACTTTCGTCAGTAACAACTTGTTCATCTGCTGCAAATACTTGTCGTTTACAAACAGGGCAAACCCTCCGATTTTTTGTCAACCAGGGATCAATACATTTCATATGGTAAGCTGAAAGAAAATGGTATATTGTCATTTTATTAAGAAATACATTTTATCAGTTACAAAATATTTTAAACTTTTCAGTATCTTTATAATCGTACATACTAACCATGAGCACATGGTAGAACTCTTAATTTTTCTCCTTCAGCATAGTCATCTAAACAAATAGCGCATGTTTCATATGGATCACCTTTTGTATATTTGTGCGTAGGAATCTTTTTCAAACTTGAATTAGGTAATCTATGTCTTCGTTGCCTTCTTCTGTCCTTAATACATCTAACAATCTAACAATTTATAAAAACATGTTTTAAATAAAATTGTTCATTAAAAATATTTAAATGTTGCAGAATAATTTTTATTTTATTCTGCAATTCTTACCATAAAGATAACCATGACTAGAAAACAGACCCCAACAACAATAACAAAAGGTAAAAGTAAGTGCGTTATATTAAATGGGGTATCATCATTAATTAGTACAAAATACAGTTGATCATATAAATAATTTTCTTTAATAATCAATCCTGTAATTTCACTGACAAATACAGATGGTATTAATATTCCTACAGGATCTTCAGCTTGCATTGGTTCTGTAACAAAATTTATGTTTATTGATTAACCTATTCAAATATTGGTATATTATTATGCAATATTTCCAATAATGACAATCATTAAATCTATAGTTATTACATTTTTTCATAATAAAAATAATTACCTAATTCGTTGCTGTTTACATTATGTATAATTACAGCATCATATCCAGCTTTCTGTGCTATTCGTACTTTTCTTTCAAAATTACAATTATAACGAACAATCAAAGCTATCCAATTACCATGATAATTGGTACTATTGGGAGGACTCTGTATTTCATGACATGCTGTAGGTGGGTCTGCATACACAACCATCCCCTAATAAAATTTCCCATAAGCCATAATGTATATTTTATTTTCGACTTGCATTTATCTAATATATTATCCTACATTCTCTAATAAGAAATCAAACTATCAACATTAACCAACAACATAAAATATATATGTTATTTGACCTTCAATTTTCCTAAGAGATATTTTAATCTTTTTTTCCAATATGTGTAATATAAAATATAAATAATCATGCAAAAATCATATAATACAATTACATATTAAGTACCTTAATCCCTTCAGATGGTATCAAACCTCCAAATCTGGCAGGCATGTCTCTAAATTCTTCTTCAATTTGATGCCTTGCAGCTGCAGAAAATACTAAGATATCTGCTTTGTTGCACATTACACAAAAGACAAGAAACATAAGCCACAACTGGAGTTGGTGGCTTAAGCAACACTGTCTCATTTTTTTAAGTATCAGAAGTGTCCACTGTCTTGTCAACTTTAATAGTTTAGCATATATTTATTTAAGAGTCTCATTATATATTACATTTAGTCCTGAGATATTGATGTATCCATTATAATGAATGAAATAATATTAACCTGTCAAAATAATTACAATGATTTCAGGTAATGTGTATACATTCTTTTTCTACTTAGTATATCTTATACGTTACTCTGCAATTACAATCTTTTTCTTTATTACATGTATTTAATAATAATTAATATATTCCACATCAATTAAGGATTTTCTTTTTTTAAAGAACTGAATATTAATTCTTTCAATATCACTATTTCTATATAACAATAATAATGTATCAATATACTAAATATAGTAATATCATTAAATAATAGATTGTTCCTTTGTACAATAACAAAAACATTCAAACATATCCTCTAGAGCAAATTTCCATTTATTTTAAGTAATTAACAAGCCAAATAAAGAGACACAACGCATACAAAGTAGAATTGTGTGAATCTTAATCATTCTGTTCTCAATATGTGTCGTAAACGATTAATTAACGATTAATTACTCAATAAACGATTGATAAGCGCAAGATATAGCGTTATTCTCTTGTCGATATAGAAACAAAAAAAGAAATGCATTTAATATGCAAAATACATTCGTAATTTAAATCTGATACATTAACAAATAGATAACAGGATCATAGAAAGTGATAATAAATTTCTCAAAATACAGCAAGATAAGTAAAATAAATGAATGATTAACGTGAATAAAAATAATATACACATGTAAATTGCTATGTACGCAAAAAGGTATGTAACAAATTGAAAAGTCTGTACAAATTTAATCCTGTAAGTTTCCTTGCCAATAGTAACATTCAAATATATATATACATAAATAACTTCGATACATACTAATATTTTTGTCTCTTTTTTCATCCAGGAAAACGCGTTACGTATATCACGTAGGGGACATTCAATCGGTTCGTAAAATGTACGTACATGCAAACACATGCATTCACACATGTAATATTGTAGATACTATGAGTACGCAATAAGATGCACATCGTTTGCACATCGCATGTCATTTGCACCTTCTTTAATTCGTCTTCCACAAATTTGAGGTTATTGGAATATTTTAGAACGACCTGTATATTATTCACCGATAAAACCGTAATATCCTTACGACGACGTTAGATCAACTGCGACGTTGATTAATTCATCGAATAAACTTCATGAGCAAATGTCAAAGACTCACTTCGATAAACGAATTGCCTGTTCATGACTATTTCACTAAAAGTAATTCTAATAATTGTATGTAACACAAAAATCATTTATACAATTTTTTTATTGTAACAAAAAACTGTATGTAACTTGAACACTGAAGTCACGCGCATATCACACATACACTTTTTCCTCTATTTTCTCGCGAAACTATCTGATAGAGCCATGCCGGACGTATACGTCCACGCATGCAAGCGCTAAATTTAAATTCAATTAAATGTCAACCTATAACGCATCGATGTTTACATTGTACTATTAATATCCATGTCTAAAAGACTAAATTACAGATTAAATTTTACTAACTGAAACTTTCTGTATTATCACATTTATTGAGCAGATGATAATATCTGGGATGAAGATATCGCGCTTTCTATGCATACTTAATGCATTTTGTATTTCAACTTCTTCTTACATTTGTTATTCATATAATCGATCTTTAAATAAATGTCGATATTTTGTTTATTTTCGTCAATTGTTTTTACATAAAAAAAAACAAAATAATCGTATTTAATTTACAGAGAAAATTAAATATACGACATAGTTTCTGTAAAAAGTATATTTAAAGTACACTTGATACAATTACAATTATTTGAATTAAACAAAACATTTATTACATCAAAATATTCTTAAATAATCACAGGTAAAATTGATTGCGCAGCAAACTCAATCAAGAAACGATACCTCTTTTTTGAACATGTAAAATTTATGCCTATCATGTACTTACAATTTTGTAACTTACTGATTTACTACATTTCGTACTAGAATATTACGCGTTCACATGCACATCACAGGCATGAAGATTGATCATTTACAAAATATATGTTTCAGTGAATATATAACGAAAATTTAAATTAGTATCATTCACAAAATTGACAGAAAATAATTTTATATATAATGTAGTTTTTGAATATTTAAGCAAAAATGAATTAAATTTATATCATAGTATATAACATATTTTGCTTGAGTGACTTCGAAGAGACCATATTTTGCAATTTGAACGTTAATACCACTTACAAGTATGATGAACTGATAGAGTGATAAGACAACTAATAAATAAGAATTTAAAAAAACGGAGAAATTTGATTCATATCAAAGTATTATATTATTTCACCGTAAATAAAAATATGTATAGTTAAAGGCACTCATCAGCAAAATCGCTTATACTGAAACAAATTACAAATTTACATTGCACCAAATTTAATATTTCCTATAAAATTTTAATTATTAAGTAAAATATTTATTTACTCTGATTTGATTAAAATTTTCCACGAGAAAATCTTTCGTCCAAATGTTGTGCTTTATTAATAACAGCATTTTTTCGAGTTTGATCAAATTGATTGATTTGTAAATCAATATCTCTGTCAAATGGTCTCCTAATCGTCTGCCCAGTTGATTTTGCCCTTTTTTCTTCCTTCTAAAATTTATGTTTCATGTATTATGTTATCAATGTAAAAATATGAAAACGAAATTATTTAGTAAACAAATACCTGTTTTTTCTTTTGTAGTTCGTTTTGATGTATTTCTAAAAGTGACTTCTCGCGTTTCTTATTTTCCAAACATTCAGTTTCATTATTTCCTTTAGACAAATCTCCAATTGATGTTTTAACATCGTATAATTTTTCTTTTTCCTAAAATGATATATGTACAATATTACTTTGTATTAATAATCTTCTTCTTCATAAAAATGAGCATAAATTATACCGTACTTGTTTACATTTTTCTGCCCGTTTTGCTGGAGTATCTGTCCAACATGACCTGTCAGACATATCCGGACCTGCTTTCATTCGAAATTTTCGTGACGTTAATCCTAGATTATTAATCTGAGTTGGAGGTAACTCAGTCATCCATTCTTCTCGCTGATTCAATATACTATACCCCTAAAATATTATTTATTATATTGCAGTCTTTAAATATTTTGAACACTACAGTATAATTTATTTTACCTCTTCCTTTTGTTCATTTTTAATTTGCTGCGCTCGTTGCTCCAATTGTCTATATACGTAATTACTTTCTAAGGCTGGATGATTAGCCGGCAGTGGACCTATATCGTCTTCATTTTCGGATTCTATTTGATTTACTTCATTATTATTAATTAACGTTACGATATTTGGAAGAATAGGGCCTATGATTTTTGTATTTGTTTCATTATTACATTTCTGCTTTAACAAATGCGGTGGTAATGCTGGACCAAAAATGGTATCCGAATTTGAGACAAAATCTTGTGTTATATTATCTTGTGTAATATCATTTGATGTATCTTTTTCGATTCTTTCACATATATCCTGTGCACTAGTTTCTGGTAAACAAGGTCCTATAAAATGTACATCTTTACTTGATTCCATATTATTGGAAGAATTAGTTATTAATTGCGGCGGTAAAGCTGGTCCGTATGTCGTAGTTTTCTCAGCATACATATGAGATGAGAATACTGCAACATCTGTTGCTTTTACAGAAGAATTATTCAGATGCAAGGAAGTTTGCTCACTAAAATTTAAATTTTCTTCCTTACTATTGAAATCAATTGTATTTTTCCTTGATTCCATCGGTATAGGCGATGTAGTACCTAATAAGGAATCTGAAATGGTACCAGAATTATTATTACTGGAACCATACAACATATCATTCTTCCTTGCATTTACCTTTGGCGATCCTTCCACGGGTTTGATTTCTATCACGTGCTTCTTCGATGAATTATCATATTCGTTGCTTGAATTTCTTTTTTTTGACTTCTTATTACGTTCTTGTGATAGTAAATTTTTATTTTTTACATCCGAACTATCAGACATATTTTCATCCGTTTCTGATAAGATATCAAATTCAGATAAATTTAATTCCTTATATTCCTGACACTCCACTGAAAGATCTCTTTTCGTTAATGATTCATTACCGCTATGACCCTGTTCTACATCTTTAGGCGAAGGATACTCTTGTAAGCGTTGCCCTTCATTCTCTTTTGCCGATATCTTTTTATGTGTACTGTATTTTTCAGATTCTCCTCGAAATTTACCGTGATCTTCAGATCTCATTTTATATGACTGGTAACTTTTATCACGGGTTCTGTCACAAACATGATGCCTATACTTTTCATGAGATTTATTTCTGTGCTTGTCATTTTGAGAACTATCATTTTCATTTCTCCTACGACATCGTTCTTGAGATCTATTTCTTCGATGCTCGTTTCGATCTCGATTTTTGTGTCGTTTTGTGTCTTTTGTTTTATGTTTCAAAGATAACGAACTATTTTTAGAATCCGTACTAACATCCTTCGCAATCTTATGATCCTTATTATCTTCACGTCTTGAGTTTCTTGACTCAAGAGAATGTTTTGAGTACTTAGTAGGATATTTGAAATCTTTATTATCAATATCTAATTCTTTTGAAGGTCTATATTCTTCTCTATTACAGTTATGTTTAGACTTGTCTGTTCTATCTTTATATTTTATGTCATCATAGCAAAGCTCCTGTTCCGACTTCAATCTCGATAGTTTTCCTAACTTCGTGTCCAGCTGAACATTATCTTTACGAGTGGCTTCGAAGCGAAATCGTCGTCCATCATCACTGTCTTGACTTTCGGAATCAGAGTCCATTGTTGTCATAATTAGTTACAAACTGAAAATAGCGTAAATTTATTTTTTTACATATACATAACAAATACACATGGTAGCACTTTGTAATGTAAATATTTTAATACAACACCATACATATGCATAACAGAATTTAATTTTAATTTTTAATTATTTTAGTCAGCAAAATAGAACAATATTTTATAAAAATATTTTAAAGCATTAAAGTATTAAGTAATACTTGGGAAAAATAACTACAATGTGACTAGATGAAAACTTTATTCAGAACGCATTTGTATGATACATAGTACATATGACAGAATTAAAGTATGAGTAAGATAGATGTAATTACTACTCTATACGTTTGTCTGTTTCCTTTGATAGTACTTCAGTCTTCACATTTTTCAAATTACTTTCTATTTTACTTTGACTTGGCTCTAGTTTTGGAGGGGAAATTATCTGTGGATTTGTCTGTATCATCTTCTTTACTTTTGTTGCACTGTACCGAATAGATTTTATAAATCCAGCAGTTACAATTCCCTTTAAACTTTGGGTAACACTAGATCTCCATACAATTTCTTTCAAACAATGATTTAATATTTCACCACAATCAGGATCATAAGCTATTGCACGTAAGCAATCTTCAGTATCCACTGATATTGGACCACGACGCCATGCTCTGACAAGTTTAACTTGTGGTACTCTAGGTAACTGATTGAAATGATGAATTCTTGTTGCAGGACTTATATCTTGATGGCAGGTGACTGCCATAGTCTCAAACTTTGGAATATCCACATAATTATCAAAATGTTGTAAAATTGGACTATACAATTGTCTAAAATATGCCAACTGGGATAAAACGATGTTATTAACTTTTTCTTGATTTTCACCGAAGATCATTCGAAAATCACCATTATAGGATAAACCAGCAATAATTTTATAAAATTCAATTTCTGTAAAGTGTTGTGGGAGTAATATTAATGCTGCATGTACAGCTGAATGTAAATTTTGTACTAGAGCTGTAGGTAACTTAGAATATTCATTTGGTTCGATGAGTATTTTAACTGGCTTGTGTAACCTTCCTGCTAAATATATGTCATGCCAATCTATTAAATCTTCTATTAGTGAAACTTCAGAAATTATTCCATACTTGATGGTATATCCTTCTGCCATTTTAATTAATGTATTATAATATACCTTAGCACCCCATTTTTCTTGGACATTAGTAATTGCTCTTTGTCCAAAAAATCGTAATGGCTGAGCATAATGTGTTGGATTAAGTTTTAAATTCTCAGTATGCCATTGGTTCACATTACGAACAACAAATATAAGATCCACTACATTGTTAGACTGATTATTTAATTGTTTAAATGCAGCAGATCCATATGCAAAACAAAATTTTATATTTCTTGGAAAATTTTTAAGTACTTCTTTTAGTTGTTGAATATTTTTTAATTTTTCCATTGTACTGAGATATTAATGATACAATCAAGTTCTGTAGTACATATGTAAAAGCACTCAATAGCTTTAATTCTGCATAATACTTCCTTATCCACAAATTAAAGTAAAAATTTTATAGGTGCTTCCTCTTTTTCTTACATAAATTTAATTAGAGTACAGTTGATTTGCTTTGTATTATCAAAGTTATAGATACAATTGAAAGAACGAATACAATGTTGCAGAAAAATATAAAGAAGTGGCACTTGAAGTGAAATAAATATTATCGGTCCCAAATCTTCCTACGTTTCAACAAGAAAGGTGGTAAATTTTTGGATATTTATAATCAACTGCGCCCTTTATTAACCGAGATCCATTCCGTCTAACCTAAAAGTTTTTACTCATGAAATGTTTAATTAATATACATACTCACTTAAAGTCGATGAAATATCCTATACCGAAGATTTATTATTATCAAGTAGCTTTAATAATATAATTGATTTAAAATATACAACAGTAAATAAACGACAAAATTACAGAATACAACATCTCATTGTACTATGCAACGAATTCAGAAAAAAATGATTACTTGTATATAATCTATTTTATGTTGGCTATGTAGGAAACCCGAGTTTCTGTTCTGTTATTTCATTGGGTTTAACCAATTAATTATTTTGACGTATTAACTAAATTTGATTAAACATTTATATATATATTTTTGCAATTATTATCATATGCACTTTTCTATAAATTAATCGTCTTAATAATTTTGAATGATTTTCTCTCAAGAATGTTTTGTTATAATCGGCAATATACCTACGTAGATTTGTCAACCTAGTGTATTTTTTGGTTGAACTTCTGGTATGTATACTATGATTGCTAACTACAGATTGGTTAATCTCTACGCAGAGTTATAATAATTTACATTAGAAAATAATATTTTGTAGTGTATTGTGCACTCTCTAGTTATATATGCATGTCTAAATTTGAAGATGTCGAACGCATAGTTAAACATAATTTCAAAGGAACGCATGAACAAACTTAAAGTTTTAGATCGTACTGCTGACATTATTTAAACAATATTTAAACAAAAAATTATTTAAAGATACTCATTGAAATATATACAACAAAGAGATTTACTTGAATAAAGAAGTACGTATCGTAGCAAACTGAATATTGATATTCTACAAGATGTAATTTACGGAATACTGACTAACAATTTTATGCATGTTATGTATTATACGAATGAATAGAAATAGGAAATACTATGGAGGTTGATGAAAATAACGCAGCGGCTTCAACGGATACACCGATGGAGGTTGACGAGGATACTTCTGGTAAAAATAATACCACATCAACAAATCCTCCTAGTGCTATCAAAGTAATGGCATCTTCGGGTACTGTTGGCTCTGTGTCTATTAGCCTTCATCCCCTTGTTATAATGAACGTCAGTGAACATTGGACTAGGCTTCGTGCCCAAGAAGGGATAGACCAACTAGGTATGTCTTTTGTACCATTTTTCGTTTCCTTTCAGTATCTTAAATTATTCTTAATTTAATTACATTTTAGTATATGGAGCACTAATTGGCAAACAGAAAGGACGTAATATAGAAATTATGAATTCCTTTGAATTATTGTTTACGTGTATTAAAGATGATGTTATAATTGATAGAGATTATTATAATACCAAAGAAGAGCAATTCAAGCAAGTTTTTAGTGAAATGGACTTTCTAGGATGGTATACTACAGGTGATATGCCTAATGAAAGAGATATTACAGTACATAAACAACTTTGTGAAATTAATGAAAGCCCTGTACTATTAAAACTTGATCCAAGGCCAAAAAATACTGATGTATGTATTTAGCAGCATTAGTTTAATATTCAAATTATTTAATAAAATGTTATACTTTGCAGCAACTCTCCGTTTCAATGTATGAATCAGTAATTGATTTGGTAAATGGAGAAGCTACAATGTTGTTTGTTCCATTGACATATACATTAGCAACAGAGGAAGCAGAAAGGATTGGTGTAGACCATGTAGCAAGAATGTGTAGTAATGATCAAGGAGAGAGTTCATTAGGTAATTTTATGTATATTAAATTAATTTATTATTATATAAATAAAAAAAAATTAAATAATTCTTTAATTCATAATAATAGTTGCAGAACATCTTACTGCACAGCATAGTGCTATAAAAATGTTACATTCAAGAGTAAAATTAGTTTTAAAATATGTACAAGCTGTACAAAATGGAGAATTAAAAGGAAACCATGAAGTTTTAAGAGCAGCCTGCTCTTTGGGACACAGATTACCAGTTTTAAATAATCCCAAATTCAAAGCTGACTTTTATAATGTAAGTTTATGTTATTGTTTTCAGAAAAGCAATTTGTCTGCATATATAATACATTATATTATTTATATTTTTAGCAATGTAATGACTATGGTTTGATGACTTATCTTGGTATTATAACAAAAGGTTGCAATAATATCAATCAGTTTGTTAATAAATTCAATATTTTGTATGATAAACAAGGTGTGGGTCGCCGTTTGCGAAGCCTCTTTTTGTGATAAGTGAATAGAATTCATTGTTTTTTATACTTATATATTTTTTATTCTATAAATTATAATGAATACTCCTGAAATTCAAGAAATTAATAATGCAGTAAATTTAATTGCTCAGTAAATTGAGTGCTGTAAGAGATACTGTACTTCTCAAATATAAACATAAAAACGAAATAAATATTGTAATATTTGATTTCAATTCACAAAAATAATCAAGTTCTATATTACTATAATTGTATAAATGTTTTTAATACATACTTCGTACTTGTACTTTTTTAAATATACAATATGCATACAAAGAATTTTGAAACACATTTTAGATAATATTGTTTAAAATAAGATATACATAGAGAATGTACAAATGGTTGATACAGATGTAGTTGCGCGCTTTTTTCTCCTTTCTTCTTTCTTTTTCTTTTTTTTTTCCCCCCCCCCCACACACACACGCACGCACACACCTTTTTAATTTTTATATTTTCAGAGGCCACATTACTTTCTCTATACGTATTCAATTTGTATTATTTATGTAATCTACTTTGTATAAATTATATTTGATATAAAAAAGCGGCCTATAAAATACGACTAAAAGTCTTTATCTAAAAATCTATTTGATTATGACATATTTTTACTTGACATATATAACGACTTATAAATATTATACTGTACAAAATATAGTATAATATATTGTGCCTCATTAATTATTGCAGGTAACTGTATTGAATTACATATTTTATGTAAACATAAAACAGAATTGACTTTTCATATGGGTAAAATTATTAAATTTAAACAAATTTCATTCTAGTAAAAATTTCTGTTTACAATTTCACTAAGTAATTGAGTCAGTAATTTATGATATTTCATTTATATCATACTAACTATATTTAATATTATCTGTACAATATAATATTCTCTAAAAAGTACAGGATTTTTACTTTTATTTTTGTACATTAAATTGTGCGAATTTGTTTGATATTGTATTGATATGAAGTATTTAAACCACAGAAAACTTTTTTCCTCTGATTCATATAAATCTTAAAAAATTGCGTTTTCTCATTATGAAATCCTCCACAAGTGATTTCTAAAGTACATTTTACTTTCACAAATCGCAAAAGACACGCTTATTTGTTGTACTGTTTTGATATTATATTTAAGTATTTAGTAGGCTGTCTTCGATCATAGTAGCAAGTATATCTACCAGAACAGACAGCATTGAATCGGGCTAAGGACTTGGTTTATCCATACCAATTATTTCTTCAAAAAGAGTATTTCTTCCTTCAGTCCTTTGTTCGATAATGTGTAATGCAAATCTTAATGTTGCCGCGGCTAAATCACCGACAGACCAATGTCTGTCCATGAGGACTCTGCTCACAGTGTCTAACTAAAATGTCACATCCAAAATAAAACTCAGTTGTATATAATTTGTATATAATTTATTACCTTGGATAAGCTAGGATTTCCTGTGGTATAATATATTAGTTTTGGTACTCCTGCCAAAGAAGCAGCAAGCCATTGAATAACGAGTTTCAATTGAGGATCTCCCTTTAAACGGGATCCACACCCCCAATTACCTGTAGCAATAGGTAATAATCCACCAGTTTGTGGACTACCATCTCTTGGTATCTAAAAATTGTGTTGACAAAAATTTTAAACTATATGCATCATTTTTAAACAAACGTGACTCAAACCACACAGAATTATTAAATCTTAAATGATGTTATTGTAAAAGACCTATGAAATTACATCATATTAATATAGAAGTTATATTACATTAATATCAAATACATATTTAAGTCATTATCAGATAGAATGAGAGACAAATCATTAGTTTTTGGAAATACAATTATACAATTTCAGGTACACAAGAAAGCGTGTATTTGTAATCTATCATGCAATAGGCACTTAAGCTTAAAAAATATTTATCATTATCATAGTAAAAGATAATTAATTGGTGATATTATTACATGCATTACATTTATGAAATAGGATTAATAAATTTATAACATAAGTTTGCTCACATTAAATGTTATATGCGATTCGAATTGTTGCGCAATTTTGTCATTTCTGATATTGAAAGATTGTGTTGGATTTATTCCTTTCACCCCGGAGCCAGATATATTTAAAGAAACTGGATTAGATAGATATACGGTAGTTTCATCATCAACCAATGTTTGAAAAACTTCAGATGTGAACGTTACTGTCCTAAGCTTTTTACGTTGAATATCCTTTATTTCTTTTGATACAGTATTGTTACTTAAAGTATCTTCATGATATTCTAAACCTTCAGATACAGACACCTGTATAGTGTAATGAATTGATGAGATTTGGCTATGTATGAAAAATTATCTGACATAGCATTAGTCATCAGTTTGTCTCTCATTCTTCATCAATAGAATAATTTAAAATAAAAAATGTGTAATTTATAAAATTATTATCAATCCATCATAGAATGTTTTCTTTATGATATTATTATTTTGATCCAAGATCAAGTAATTTTGACTGAAGAAAAACATATTGTTTCTTACTGATTGTTGTCTCCTATTTTTCTGACGGGCTAGCTCTAAACTCAAACTTCTCACAGCCAAAGCTAATTTGTGGCTTTGATTAACATCGGTAGAATCAATGAAAGGTTGTGGTTCCCCCTCTTGAACTGGAACACCGGCAAACGATTCACTAAGAGCTCTTTTCAATAATGATCCTGCGAATCGTACTACTGCTCTGTCTCTCGCATCTAATTCGCGAGATTCGTCTGCTGCTATAGGATCTTCTAACCATTTTGCTAGTTGCTCATAAACTTCTTCAAGCTCCGAACAAAAATCTTAATGTAGGAAGATCGTTTTCTTATTCTTAGAAACTGGTGAGAGATATTATCTATAAACCATTCCATAATACTTGCCAGAATTGTATTCAGTGCTGAAACTGTACCTACTGCTAGCATTTGTGTCTCTCCTCTGTAATATAGGTTGATTTTGACGAAATCTGCCTAGCCATTTTTGTTCAGCTTCCAAAGATTCTTTCAAAAAATCTTCATCTACTGTTTCATCCCGTAGAACAAAACCTCTTGAACCTCCTCTCTTTACTCTGTAAGATTTTACATAATTCATATGAATTTATCAATACAAACGATATTTTTAAATAAATTTTCTTACCTAATATCTTGATCACAAACATGACTTCCAGATACACTTATTCCTACTGCATAACTACTTTCTCCAAATGAGGTATTCAATGAAGTAGCACCAGTAGCTGTATTTTCTCGTTTTAACGCATCTCTTAAACGTTGTGCGAAAGTTCCTCTTCTTTCTGGGGTATCCAATTGAGTATTATAGTATTTAGTTACTTTCTGTTCCTCTTCTTCTATATATTATAGTACATAATAATATACAAATTTTATTTTCGGTATAATAAGGGATTGGTTAATAACATTACATACATACCCAGGTCTTCATCTATAGTATCTTTTGCACTGTGAAAACTGTCTGTACTCTGACTATTACAACTACTATAAACCGACATTTGACCAAGTGACTTTCGCGTAACTGGTAAAATTTCTCCGCTAGATCCAAGAACGATAAACCGATTTCTTCTATTTGTATAACTTGTATCATTGTACATCTTATGAGGGCTAGGTGGTCTTGTAGATTTACCATTTGGTTTAGTACGAACTTCCGGTAAAACATCGTATTTATGTTCACGTAATACAGATTTTGCTAAAAATGATAGTAAATTATAGCTTTTCAGTTATTAATTGTTTTCAGTAATGTTGTTGTACCTTCTTTAGTATCATTATTTATTGGCAACATCTTATCATCGCTTTCTATTTCTGGAGGGGTGCTACTAAAACTTTCACCGATTGGCGATAATCTGCGAGAACCAACTGTTTCATCTATATCTGAATCTAACTTTACAGGGTCAGTCGGGCTGCTTGGTATATGTCTTTGTCGAAATCCAAGCAAAGATTTGTTCATTTCTCGTAATATGTTATCTTCTTCAAATTGTGACAGAGGTAAACGTGAGTAATTTTCAGGATCAATACAGCACACTGTTACCTGTGTAAAAATAAGAGAGTATTAAAAAGAATATTAAAAATAACAGAATATTAATGTAAATAAAAAAAAAAAAAAATTGGAAAATGATATAGTGTACTAACGACATTTGGTTTTGGTAAAACTTCAAATACAGCTCTGTTGCGAGGATCATTTATTCTAGATATATGCCTAACTCCTTCGACTATTAAAACTTCGTTGTCTTCTAAAGCCTCGACCGACAAAATTGCCGCGAGCATTTCGGGATGCGTTGCTATCTAAGAATTAAATTAATAACTATAATTGTTCGTTGCTTTTTATTTCAAGAATGATCTCTAATATTTAGTTTTATATTTCTCTGCCTTTCTTTCTTTTTTTTTTTATTTTGGAAGGCTACGATTAACTCAGATCGAAATTATTTTTCTCACGCCTTTAATTATTTACATGTACAGTTTCTTGCGTAATATCACCATCAAGTACACCGCCTCCAAATTTCGCACTCGTGAAACAAATTCTCAGTACTTTAGCTTCTGGTTCCACTCTGTCTAGACGACCTTCGTGACGTATCATCAGCGGACACAAAGGAACATTGCTCTCCAACCAATCTTCAATAGTTAACCACTGTTTTGATGTCATTACCTAGAAAGTCTATATTCGTTTTGATGTCATGAGATTTTCAAAAAATTGTGGCACCAAGTACAATACCTGTCTGGAAATTATTAGTTTTCCATCTAACGCGTTTTCAGTATCAAGATAGTCGTAATAACTAAATATGCTTCTTAGTTTTGCTTTTTGTCCATTACTGCAAAATAATACAGAAATATTTTTGACATTAAATATATTTTACTTAATATTTTCAATTTGATCCTTACTTGTGAAGATGTTTGAAAAAATTTGTAAAATTAAAATCCTGTAAAGTTGGATGCGTTTTCGCCGTTCTTTTTGGATATGTGGAAAAAAACGCGTTCGCGATTAAAGATGAAATGAAGGCATAGCTGTACTCGACGCAATCTCCTACGTAAACATATATGTTATATATTGAATTACATTATCGAATTGTATTATTAATTATATTATTAATCACCTAACATAAGATAAGTTTAAATTACCTTGTTGTTGAAGACTAAAGTGTAGACCTTGAGGTGGTTTACAAGACCTTAGAGCTTTCGCTCTTTCTACTATTCGTGGTATTGTGTTCACAAAGATTTGATCTCGTTCGGAGAAATCGAGATCATTATCAAGGAAGGTTGTTAGTCCAGAAAATAATTCAGGATCCTGTATGTCTTCTTCAGGATCGAGGCTTATGCTATAAAAGAAAAACGAAATGTTTTAAATTAAATCATTAAATAGAGAAAACTTTTTAAAAACACGTAAACAATTATAGTACAAAGAACATTCAAAATATGGGTGATTTTTGTACAGAAAGGCGTTGTACTTAAGAGCATTTGGGTACATCTTTTATAGATATTGAGAAATACTTTTGATCAGATACCTTTTCAGTATGCACTGTTCCTCGTATCTTTATAACAGCATGTAGCAAAAAAATCGAATTCGTTAATACCTCCGCGAGATAAAGTAATCAAATCAAATTGAAATACACATTATATATATATATATCCGCGTTGCCAGTTAATCAAAACTCACGTATACGTGGTGTTCATCTAGAGTAGCTTCAGTTGCAACACTTACTTGCACATGTCGTGCAGTCTCTGCATCGCTTCCACAAGATCTTCGGAATTCCTGGCAGCAGCAGCTCGATCTAGTTGCTTTACTACGGCCGGCCACCATGGTAAATCACAGGGTAACATTACTAGAGCCATTTTAATCACCGATCTAAACATCAAACATCATGGTATCCGATCCAAACATATCGAGGAAGTTCGCAAGTCGAGGAAAAATTCGGAGAAGTGACTGTAGATAATCAGTCGCTAGCCATACAAGTTCACTTATGTATTATATTTATATTTCCAATTGTATTCTCCCTGCGCTCTGCACACTGAAGTTCATGCTTAGACATGTGAAGTAGTACACATTTTCCAAGTCAAACAACTATGTAACATTATGTGAAAGAAAATAGATGGTTAGTGAATCGAGTTTCAAAAGGAAATTCATCTTTTATAACACAAACTATCTATACATATATGAGCTACGTGAAAATCAGTGAAATCGCCAAGAACCGAATATTTGTACTATTGACACTACACATAACTAAATCATATGTTACTACGTGATGTTATTTTATTTTGATGCAAACATTTAACTCAAAGTTTAATCATATTTTTTGGCTTACATATTTTGTTATCATTCTTTATTTACATTACCATTATCCGGCATATATCAATATGTTTTACTTGCGAGCCTATCCTTTCAAAGAACTGTAAGTAGTACAAGTTTAAAACAAGCGCGTTAGATCTATCGAATCGCTGACAGGGTATACGTGAGTTTACGCGCGAATTGTCGCGTAAAAATAAATATTCCATGGTTATAAAATGAAACAAGGTTTCACGCGCCATGTAACACGATATTCTTGGTTCCTTGCTTAAAAATATGTATATTCCTTGTAACAGAGAACTTCTTCGTAACCTTTGAATGTTCGAAGAGTAAGTAAACTTATTGCATTACGACACTATTCTTCAAATAAATCATTCTTGAAAGTAATATTATTTTCAGTGTTCTCGAAAATTTATAGATAAATAATTATATTAAAATATTACCATTAATAATTATACTAAACAAATAGTTCATTAAAGAGAGATCATATTAATATATATATATATTAATATACACATATGTATATATATGTGCAATTGATTAATTTACCTGATACTTTTCCCGGTTCATTTCAAACTGTAAACATTAAAATATTAAACACTCGATCCACAATTTTCATTAAGCATTAGTCAGTTTTGTCCAATGAAGGGACGAATAAATCCCTATTAAGGTTCCCATATGGGCCTCAAAACTGCTCGTGCGCCTGGCGAAAAGGGTTGTGTGGTTAGTAATCTTTCGTCACGAGGATAGCATAATTAATTTTTCTTGTAGGCAGAGAGAAAACTAGCCGGCGAATCCACAAATATTATCACGCAGAGGTAGATGCCAGAATAATATTTTGCAAGACACGGCCACGGCTGCTCAAAACTAAAATTTACATAATCACCTAATTTGCTCGATAGGTTGTCGATCAGCTGACGCGATCACGAATAAAGTCACATCTTAAAGTGTGCCATTGCGTCAACGAACATGCCGCATTTCGTAAAATGAGCACTTATACAATTGTAGCGTCTTTGAAACGTAGAAAACACCCTACATAGAGACTAAGTTAATGATTCTCGGCAATGATTCTTAACGACAATATTATCATTCGTTTGATACGGTACGACTGATTTGTTCGTGACAAATTTAACACGCTAATTTGTCGAATTGTTTATTATACAATGCTACGAAACAATGAGTCTGTCTTCGTGGGTAGGTGGCACAAAACACCAAAATGTTCCACCGTTAACTACAATACTATCGTCGAGCACACGCGATGGCTGGCTTTCCTTTTACTTTGTTCACAAGCCGCAACCGGCGATTGGCGTTGTATCCACTATTTATAGAGCGGCGCCGGCGCCCTGCCAAACCCTATATAGAATTTTTGACAACAAACTTGTCTATAACACTTTATTGAATCTATTTATCATACCATCATTAAGATTTTTATTTAAAAATATTATTTATAGTTTCTATTCTTCAACATGAATTCATCAGAAATGCAATTATAATAGTCTTTACAACGAAGTATTCTGTGCTCAGATATTTATAGATAAAGACGGATTCTACTTTATTAATTGATAAAAAGAGGTAATTGTAGTGATTAACTACTTTAAGCGAGATATAAACACAGATGAAATATGAAATATACTTATCGCCTTATAAAACATTATATATTAAGTTCTGAAATACCGACCGTACAAAATTAGGAGATCTATCATGCCCTCTACGATTTAAAGCGGTGAATCTAAGTATTATATTCAATTAAACTACAAAAGTTGGGAAAGTTGGGGATCGATTTAAAACGATATCTTTTGGTACTTTCTCATATGAACATAGATACGGTTGGGTATATTACTTATTATTTGTTTTCTTTTATTCAAGAAAGGTTAAGTTTCATACATTATTATTTTATTATGTAAAAAGCTTTTACTACTCGGAAATTATAAAAGAATTTTTATCCGATAGTTTTGTGAATAAAACATTTATAAAATTCAGGTGAAATATTACTGTCTTATTTGGAAACTATTTTACAATGTATTAATTTTTTACATAAAACATGTATAAAAATTACACTAAATTATAATTGATTGACAAACACAGACAAGTTTAGTTCAGTTTCACGTACTCTGAATGTAAAGATGTGTTCGAAAAAAAGGCTGTAGTAGGAAAAGATATTTATTACACTTGATTACACAATAATAAATAAAAAATACTTATAATAAATTTAATCCTATCACTTTTATTGTTTAAGAATAGTAAGTCCAATCAGTTTTCTGATGTCCAAGCCTATTCGTAATTTCTAATTTCATAATTAAATTTAGTTTCTACTCCTACCGTTATTGTTATTGTTATTATACCGAATCGGTAATGTCATAAATGATACCAAAATGGTAAGAATTTCTAAGCTTTCCGTAATGTTAGGCAAAGGACAAATCAGTATAGATCTGCCGTGTGCCTTATTTCTGTTTTTTAATTTGATATTTTTACTTAATTTTAATCCCGTCATTTAATTTGTTGTAAAATCGATAACGTTGTAAATGATATGAATATAGTAAGGAGCTTGTGAACCCCTATCTAATTCTACTTTGTGAAGTATTTAATGTTCAAATAGCTTATCTTATTTTTTACTTTTACTTGAGGCTAGAAAATAGAAATAGAAACAGTAAGAAGAATAAATATTTTATGTTATATATTGTTACAACACACACACACATATATATATATATATATACACATATGTACATATGGAAATTACATGAGCCATAAGATGAGTGGAACTAAGTATAAGTAAATCGATATTAAGATACATAAAAATATTTGTTATTGATACACTATAAAGTAACATTGATAATTATATAAAAATTTTTTAATTTGGATGGAATATGTATAATAATGTATAGCGTCATCATTGAACGTAACTAATTAACATATTATGCGATCTATTTTACGTGGCTTACTAAGTATCTGGTGATTTCAATACCTGATAAAGAAAGATCGCAATGTATGCAGTCCCAATCATTGAAGTCACTTCGTCTCGTATTGCTTACTGCTATTACTTGCATATTAAGATTTTTAGAATTCTTGTATAACTGTATATATAAATATAATATATAGCATAATTTGTCCATTTTGACGCCTGCAGGTATGCTTCCATGCGATTGCATTTCCGACAGGTGCCACCACCTTGCGGAATAATTTGCGTGATTCTAGTTACAGAATTTCAGTAGTGTATCAAAACGAAACGAATAAGGTATTTACCGGAAAAAACTCGTTATGTCTGAGCGATTTTGTCTCGAACCATTTTTCACTTACTTTATTCGTAGCAAGAAATGAGATATTTTCATTTAGAATTCTTTTGTTTCGATTAAGATGTATAATTTAAATTCTAAAATATATTATAAAGTGTAAGGGCCCGAAGTTGAATAGATACATGTTCATATTCATTACAATCGTGTGTTCCAACGGTCTCGGAAAGCGATTGTGTCGAGCTGTGAAGAAGAAGGGGATATTCATGTTAGTTCAGTGAGCTCACACGCGTCGAAGAACAGTCGTTGACAACGGTACGAAATCTTCAACATCCAAAAATGGCGTTTCTTGCATAGTATATCGCTATATTTAAGTCTATCCTGGTTTTGTCAACGAGTGGAGCAAGCTTCTTGAAAGAAAAATCGCGTAAACCAAGGAATAGCGTTGGAGGATCGGTTTCGTGAGATTCCGCGTTCAGGAGGTTGCTTCGTAGAACAACGACGTAAATATCAGTTCACATACCAATCATTCTTACGTATTCAGTTGTGTGAGTGAACGTATTAAACAGTTTGCGTTTAAAGCATTTATTCTGATGATGTTAAACATCGTTTTTAATGATCAAGATTTTTGCATACTTTTGGAATTATTCTTTTGCGTATTCTTTGAATAAACCTACTCCAAATCGCGCTCTTACAACGAAGATTCCGATTGGTCAATTCATTGACTATTGACCAATCGATGAATGTTCTCATAAAGTCTACAATTTATATTATAAAGATGAAATTTATTATGTCAAAATGGTTTTGGTCAGTCATAAGAAATTATCTCATTAAGTCATTTAGAATTAAATTTTAAATATCGGTAGACTTTAATTAATATCGAAACATACCAAAGATCGTGTGTCTTTAATACAAAAATTTGAAAAGATAAATGAAGTGAAAGTGCAAGGAAAAGAAATGAATTTCATGTGCATTAGCTTTATAGGTGTAATATCGATATCCATCTGTGCTCTATTAAAGTTTCTCATGAAATAGTGGAAAAAATAACGTGCTTTTTATACTCTTATAATTATTCGATTTTCTTTAATACGTTGCCGTAACGTCATATTTACAAATGATTCTTTGACATTGAAAACATCTTATCCAATAAAGAAACCATCATAGACAATTATTTTGAATGTTTCAAATGCCTTTTTACTATTCAGTAAATTTTAATTGACTTCTTTTTGCATTTACTTCTGCTATTTACGTCATATTTTTCTCTTGAAATCAAATATTATATGACGTACGTATCCGAAAGGCTATTCGATTCTACATTTAACCTAACGAAATCGAACAATAAAAGTTCGTAGTGATCGATAGCATCGACCATCGAAGTTTGCTTGCTTCGGTATAAAATTTTTACGCACTTACGCAAGCTTCACCGGTCAGACAAGGTTTTGAGAGAACAGTGATGTCATAACACAGTGTAGCGTAACGAAGCAATTCCTCTGGCACGTGCAGTTGATGTCACATTAATACATCACATTAACCTAAAGATGCAATATGATTAATAGTTTGAGTTTCTTTATGAAACGTCTATTGCAAATAAAAATAGGGAAAAAGAATGAGTAAACTACGATATTATTTCTACGCTTTCTTGTTTCCTTTCTCTCGCCTGTAACAGTAAAAGATTTAATGAATTCGAATGAAGCAGTTGAGTGGTAGAATTTTATTTTAAAGCACATGAACTGTATAAGGTGGATTAATGATTAGAGACATACCAGTGCCATCTTTTACTTTCACCATAAGAAATTTGTTAACGAACTAATCTCTTCGAGGAACGAGTGTTGCATAATTAAGTAGGTTTTTCGACTTACATTCATTATAGTATTCAAAAAAATTCAACGTTATTTATAACTTCACCGATTTTTTTATATATTTAATGTCTATCCGACTGAACGTATGCGCTGGTGTTTTTCATCGGTCATTAAATCAATTGATCTACAATTTACGTCTAATTATCTTAATGGATTATTATTACATTTTAAAGGAATTTTATTTTTATTAGTAGCGTCGTACTAGCAATAAGTGCATGTGATATAAATATGTGATATGATATAAAATGTTGACGAATAGGAAGAAAAATGGAATCAACGGAACAATTGCGACCAGAAGAATTGGTAGGTTTAGTAGCCCGGTCTGCGGAAGGTACAGCAGCGAAAGGAATGCCTATCAAGGGACATGAGGATCTGTGGGTGGAAATTCAAGCGAATACTTTCCGAAATTGGGTGAATGAACACCTGAAACACGCGGTCGACTCTGCAAATGGTCCCGTCATCGATCTCGTTGAAGACTTTCGGGACGGTACACGATTATGCGCTCTCGTTGAAGTACTCACCAAACGACGACTACCTCGATGGAATCCCAGACCAGCTAATCAACATCACCATTTGGAAAATGTCTCAACAGCTCTTCAAGCTATTGAGGCTGACGGTGTGAAACTTGTTAATATCGGTGAGCATAATTTATTATCGTATCGACTGTTTACTTATAAAATACATGAAGTTATGCTAAATACTAGATTGCTTTGACTCTTTGCACTATAATAACGAATCTAACTCGTCATGAGTTCTTGTCGGATATTAGAAATATGTGCTACACTTTTGGTCATACGACCAAAATTATATTTCATGTGTTTTAATATTTAAAGTTCTAGAATTATCGTAGTATGATTTCATCGCGAATGTGATGGAGCTATTGTGTAAGGTGAATCGTAGTGCAAAAGGTTAACAATCAGTGCACCGTGTTATATAATAAACGATTTCCTGATGATTTGTTTTTAATTAAACATCTGATCTCTACGTTTGATTAATTTAATTGGTTATCACTGGTTATTACCGAAAATGTATTTTCCTTGATAATATATGAAACAATCAAAATCAAACTCGCATTTATTTGGATCTATTTGATATTTATATGCAAAACAGCAAAGCTCTTCTCGTGGTCAGTGGTAAAATATGAGTCGCGGTGCGGCTTCCATGCGCCATGAGTCACAACGCGATAAGCGTAATAATTAAATGTGGACCATCGTTACGAACGTATTTTATATGAACAATATATAGCATTTAAGCCGTACGAATAGCATTCTTCCAGGTTATTATACTTCAGCTAATTTTAAATACTTGTGGTAATATTTTAATAATTGTTGGAACAGTAGCGTTTATCAATGATTCCAGTTACTTTTTGAAATAAAAAATACAGTTGCGACGTCATTGCTTGCAAATCAATCTTCGAGGTCGTTGCCTTTCTGGTGTTCTATCGGCGCCTACGAGACCATAGTCTAGAACCATTACAATTATACTATCGTGTATCTAGCAACTAATTTCATTTCTACCGCGTGAGTACCGTGCGCATCTTTAACATACTTTAACACGCGGGGAAACTTTCATGACTGCAGTATCTTGATATTATTAAAATAGATAATCATTGAAATAAAAATTCATTTGCAGGAATATTCAGCTTTTCCGATGCAAAAGACACATGGAAAGTTTAATTAACTTAACATTAAATTAAATAATTTTCAGCTTCCTTTTGTTGGTAAGAATTTGATAAATATCTGAAATAATTTGAAACTGCAAATCGTTTTTTATAGGTAATGTAGATATTGTCAATGGAAATTTGAAACTGATCCTTGGTTTGATATGGTCGCTCATTGTAAGGTACCAAATAGGCAAGTCCAAGTTCCCTCCAAGGAAACTCATGCTTGCATGGCTCAAGGTCAGTACACGTAATCGCACAAGTAACCTTGCTACATTGCAGATACATTATATATTTGACTTTATATAAAAATATATATATGTATACAAAAAATATCTAATCCAGGAAAACTTAATAGTTATAAATTAACCAAAATTGTTTCATCGATTCGTTTTACAGGCAGTTTTACCGGAATGTAGAGTAAATAACTTCACCACAGACTGGAACTCTGGCGTATATCTAAGTGCCTTGCTAGATTATTGCCAACCAGGTCTATTTTCTCATTGGCGTCGACTTGATCCTAATGATAGGTACAATCGGAAGATCGTATTTTTTTCAAGATATTACAACTTTAAAAGTTAAATATCAGAAATTCCATAAGAAGTTTTATATTTATAGTGTGTACAATTGTCGAAAAGCTATGGAAATTTCGAAACGTGAATTTGATATACCTATGGTACTCGAACCAGAGTATCTTGCATCTCCATATTTGGACGAACTATCGGGAATGACCTACTTGTCGTATTTCATGAAGGAAGGTTCGCCGGGTTTTCACGCAACGTTACGATGGGTTAACTCACAGTTACCTCGTCATCCAGTACAAAACTTTACGGTGAGCGAATACTTGTTACTCCGATATGAGATCGTATACCATAGACATTTCTGTAAGTTGGAATTATTTCTTACAGACGGATTGGAATGACGGCAAAGCTTTATGTGGTATTGTGAGAAACTTGGGTGGCCCTGCTCCTGCTTACGATAAGATTGATACCGATTCTTCCGTATGGGAACATAATATACAATTAGGTGAATATTAATACATAATTTGTTTTTAGAAAAAGTGAATTATTTTTATTCATTTATGCGGTACTATTTTATATTTTACTTGAAAGGTATTGATGGAGGCAAGAAACTGGGCGTAGAGCCTATTCTTAAGGCAAAAGACATGGCAGATCAAAATGTAGAACATTTAGGCGTTATGGCGTATGCGGCATACTTTCAGTGGGTAAAGCCTCGCCCTCAAGCTAGCAAACAAGTTGTTGTCCACATCGATAGCACTTCCGCTAGAGTGCAACAGCCAGTTAGTTGGTTAATTATTATCCAAGAAACTTATTTGCTCAACCATTCTTCAAAGTTCATTATTATAAAGTAATGATTATTTGTAGGCACACTTTAAATTAGAGATTCTTACCAAAGAAGTGAATACAAGGGAAGTACGTGGTGAAGTGATAAGTCCGAGCGGAAGGGTAGAATGTAGACTTACATGGAATGGAATACATGGGAAGGGAACCTTTATACCTACAGAAGTTGGGATGCATAAGGTTCGTTTTGATAATACTAGATTATACTAGATATTAAATTAATAAGTCAATATATAAAGTTTGTTATTGGTTGCATTACAGTTAATGGTATGTAACGACGGAGAATTAGTAGATGGATGTCCCTATTATTTCAGAGTTTTACCTCCCTTAACCAAAATTAAATCACCTGGAATGGATCCGTGCGCTATAGGATCCATTGTTGAAGTTCTAGTCAACAGTTATGGTAAGCATGGTACTTAAAAAGTACACATCACAAAAAATAAAGAAAGAAAAACAGGTAGAAAAGGATGTTGAATTATTTAAATTTATAAAATAAACATTGTTTAGGAACTAGTCATAATGGCATTGATGTGACTGCTTGGTCCCCAACTGGAAGATCTCTACCATGCCCTGTTAAAGAAAACGATGGAGTACATACCGCGACCTTTCAACCAGATGAAACAGGAGAATGGAGTATTGCGATAACTCATAAAGGAAATCACATACAAGGTGGACCATTTATATGCTTTGTATTTGATCCTAATGGCATAAAGGTATATCAGTTATTTTATGTATTATCTTACTCATATCGATGAATCTTTGATTTTCAATAAATATTTATAGTTATTGGATACGGAGGGTGCTTTACCCGGACAACCATTTTCATTTACTGTCGATGCAACAGGAACCGGGGGTCTTGGCGATGTAATAATAGATTTAGTCCATGATAAACAATCCATTCCTTTCAGAGTGGAAAATTTTGGACATATGCAATATCGAGTTTCATTCATTCCATCAGATTCTGGAAAATACAGAGTTTATGTATATTTTAATGGATCCGATGTTCGAGGTTCTCCATTTTCTATACGAGTAGGAACTCAAAAAGCATCGAAAAGATCAAAGGAATCTAGCCTCGATAAGTCTAAATTATCTTCACTGGAAAGACGAATGAACGGCTTGAACATTGCAGTTGAGACTGATAGATCAAGTCCTGTACAGCAGAAAGCTTACTCTTCTCCTACGTATAAATTATCCAGTCCAACTCAACATGTACGCGAGTATTCTCCCGTACGTCAAACTACCTCCACTTATAAGACATCGAATAATTATTCGTTGGAAAACTCTAGTTCGACGTACCACACATCGACTTCGTTCAATCATACTCGATCTCCAAATCATAGTCATAGTCCTGTTTCGCGAAATCTTCATAGTCCATCTATGGTTAAGGATACGAAAGAAATTTATTCTTCTACTACATACAATCATTCGAGATCCCCGACGGTACAAAGTCCTAGCTTTATGAAAGAGTCCAGTACAATAAATAGATCTCGTTCTCCAAATCCAAGTCCAACGATGCATGGTCCACGATATTCACCAGTCATTAAGGAATCTCGAGACATTTATAGTTCGGGATCGTTGAAGAGATCTCGTTCGCCAAATCGAAGTCCGATGGCATATCGTAGCACAACTCAGAGTCCTGTTAATAGGAGCTTCAGTCCGAGAAATGACAAAGACAATAGTTACAATAGGAGAGATTCCACGGATAATGGAACAGTCGACACAAGCAGCAACGTCAGAGTATCATCGATGATTGGTGGGACCTCGAGAAGAGATTCATGGGATGCTATAGAGAAAACAAAATCTTTGCTATCTTATGGCAGTTTAGAATCCCTTGCTAATCTAACCAATAATTCTGCAACAGCTGAAAATACCACTAACTCGAATTACTTCAATAATAATTATAAGAATACTCAGGATTACAGTTCAAAGAATATACTGCACACTCATAATAGTTCCTCCAATCTTGCATCCACTCAAAAGCTTTCAACTTCAGAATATAATACATCCCAAAAATATACCAACGAAAATCAAAATATTCGTACACAAACGCACGGAATTCTTAAAAATAAAAATAATAATTATTACAAAAACATGGATAGCACAGAAGGAATGCACGAACGATATCTTAATAATGAAGTTTCTAGTTCATCAACACAAGATAGAAATTACGAATTTGTAACTGGAAATGCACTTGAGACATTACAGATTCATAGACCGGCTACTTTCACTATAGATCAAAGTGTAGATCCGAACAAAATTACCGTTAGTGTTTCTGGTAAGTTTTCTTGTTATATTGTGTTACTAGTGTAGTACATCATATATTTTGTAGTATAATATATGTGATTTCAGGTCCAAATGGAAAAATAATTCCAATACAAAAATCAACTCTTCGAGGTTTAACGTACACAATAACCGCTGAAGAAGTTGGAGAACATATTATTCAAATTTTAGTAAATGGTCAACATATACGAGGCTCACCTTTTAGGTTTGTAGTTACTAAAATTTTAAAAAAGTAGTTACTGAAATTATAAAAAGTTAATGAAATTATCAAAAATTTACTACTTCAGATCGCAAGCATACAATGCCCGCGCTATTCAAATTGGGAACATTCCGAATGGTGTTGTTAATCAACCAGTAGAATTTGAAAGTATGTATCCAAAAACATATTTATGGCTGCAAAATAATAAAATACTTATTATTAACGACAAAAATTTATATCCTTGTACACTTTTCGTATTTATAGTTGACGGATCTAATGCCGGATCTGGAAATCTAGAGATCCTTGTGAATGGTGGTCACGTAACTAGTTTTGTTAGAGCACTAGGTAATCAACGATTTCTGGCATCGTTTGTACCTCATGAAGCTGTTGTACATCTCGTAGAAATGACGTTCAATGGCGAAGTTGTCCCTGGTAAGTCTCTTTTTATTTGTTTTTTATATCACGAAAATATGAACAATAACACAGTGTAATAATATAAAATAAAATTTGTATACACTTCCGTATCTAAAATATTCAGCGAAACTAGTTTCTTAGTCAATAACAAATTTATTTCTGTTTCATGAACAAATACTTTTCCTTTCAATTTGCCTTAATGAATCAATCTTTCTTAGTAAAAGTGATCCATTACTTCTTCATATACTTTCATGAACAAAAGAGTGTACTAGTGGTGATATTATTTAAAAATTTAATTTATTTGCTAAAGCAAGCATTCTTTACAAGAAATTAATTTTTGGAGAAGCTATCAAGTAAATTTGTACAGTATTTAATATTTACCAAAAATGTTTTCATACTGCGTAAGCATATTAATCATTATTGTTTATTAAATTTTACGTTTGTAAGTCTTATTAGTTTCCAGCTTTTCATAAAAATTACATTCAATTATCATGTCGTACATTATTTTACCTCTTGAAATACATTGTACAATCAAGTACATATGTGTACTATTTGAATCAACAGGTCATTGATCAGGTCATTGACTTGCGATTTCACGCATCCACGTGATGTTCCACTGACACATATACGACGTCATCGTTTCCTTTCCTTCCTCATATATAATTTCCTTTCCTTCTTGAATTTTTTCCTTTCATTTACTTAACAAAGTACAATGAATAATACTCTTATTTAAACAGACCTTTTATTTCGGCCATACAGTATCGTATAATCATACGATGTTCGGATACTTTATATTATTGATGTTACTTAAAAATCTTAATACGAATCAGCATAACAAATAAAAAATTGTAAATAAGATTTCGTACAAATGATACGCCTTTAACGATAATTAAATAACGCTTTATGTCTACTTCGAATATTATTTATTACATATTGTGACAGTAAAACTTGAGGGCATTTGTGTTATGTTACTGCATATGTGCAAAGAAAATTATTTAAATGTGATGTGGAGAAGGGCATTTTGCAATCGTGATTACACATAGTATGTACAATACTGTAAAAATCTTCAACGGAATATTATTTTCAAATTGTTTTAAATATTAAAGAAATTCATATTTTTTTCCCGATTAAAAAAAAAAAGTGTAATTAACGTTTGAAAATTATAAAAAATTAAATATTCAAATGGTTTATTTTATATAGATAGTAGGCGATGTATCATATAATTTTTTATATAAATTTTATCTAAATAAACTCTTCTATGTATATATCGGTAATATTTACTTTAAATTGCATTTATTTGTCAAAGGTTGTATAATATTCATATATTATTAATTGAGAAGAAATATCAAGGAGACTGTAGGTGTGGTCACTAAAGTCTTTGTATACTTGTAGACGTATTTGGTTACGAACGAGGATAGTCAGTCTCTGCCTACATAGAGGTAAATGTAATCCATGTAACTGCACATACTATCTTACAATGATTTAAAAAAAGTTTCTGATAATATAGTGATTTAATTCCTATATACTTACAATATAATGAATTATATTAATATTAAAACTATGTAAATAATAATTATCATTGGGTAAAACGACATATATTTAATATGGAAGTCTTTGAATTCTTTCGTCTTGTTTAAACAGCAAATCTTTTCTAATTATACATGTAATAATAGTAATTTCTATAACTATAATCTTGTTTTTGTACGGTCTTTTGTAAAGTCAAATATGCGGCGCACCGTTATTATTTAGCAAGAAAGAAATGTTTGCGGTTGTTTCTATTCTGAGACAGCACGCGGAATAACTTACGGTTTAGTGACATATGGAATGCATTCTTGTACAACCCAAACTATTTCTTCAATTTAAATTTTTTCATTAAATGAAATTTATATCGTTAATTTTTCCAATTTTAAGTATGAAGAGATATACATTCAAGTATAATTTCTAAACGTGTAATGAAATTACGGTAGTGCTCAATTAGAATACGTACTAATTATAAAAATTTCGATTATATATTAGTTATACTTGTTACAGGCTACAAAAAAATTTGTGATTTAGACAAAGATTGCTGTACTATATTTATATAACATTGTTACTTTCGTTTTAGCATACGTATTCATGGATTGATTTTAATTGATTTCAATTTGCTATTGCATAAGTAATGTTCCATTCATTCCAATATATCAAATTTAGAAATAACATTTACTTCTTTGATATCACTTTTGTTAATCATATTTTAGTAAGTCAATAACAATTCAAGAGTAATTTTTGAAAATTTTGGAACAAGTTTCCTTCCGTATGACCCGTTATGTTGGGGAATGCAGCGATTCACGAACCATAGACTCTTCAGTGTAACTCTTAACATTAAGAATGTAGCGCTAAGCAATCCGAAATGAAAGAAAAACAACTCAATGATCTTAATAGTACAGACGTAATGTAAAAAGTATTGAACAACTTTTAATTCCTTTTCTCACTTTTCTTAAATATAAAAAATATATTAGGTATTATAAATTATACGTATTGCATATCATAAAACGTCACAAACATTTGCCAGTTAATTTTCAGGCTATTGAAGTATTGAAAAAATATATCAAAAATACATCAACTGTAAATCTTTATACAATTATAAAAAATAAAAGTATAAAAATACAAAATTATCCAAGAAACTATAGTTTTCCAATTCCGTTGGAAGGGAAAACCGAAAGAATTCGGTCGTCATAGAATTATAATGCATGAAAGCCACATTCCTTGTATACATTCAAGTATTCCACTCTGACATTCGTTTAACGTAGTAGACTGAATGGCATAAAAATGTCATTACTAAATAGTATCGCAATATATGAAAAACTGCACTTTTTTATTTTTTATCGATAATAATCAGTAACAAACATTAGCTGTATAAGATCACACTTTTTCTGTATGTATTCTAAAGTAATTTTACGTTGAATGCAGACAGTGAAGTTTCTATTTGCGGCCGACCTTAAAGTATCGAAATACGCAGATCAGGTATCGTGTGAACGTATACACTGTAGCCGGTCGAACGAGCAAGAAACGGATGGGAGAACATAGTCGTACCGTGTTGCATTAAAGCCCCACTCAATTTACACCATAAAATGATTTTCCAGTAAAAATGATGTACTTTCGTAACAAAAAATCATTAAATATGAACAAAATCATGAAAAGAAATGCTATAAAAAGTTAATTTAAAGTAGATATAAAACATAGCGGAGAAAAAGGAAAAATGTGACACAAAATTATTGAATGTACACCAAGAAAAGCACGTCCCTGGTTTTGGGCCTAAGCAGCAACTCAGTAGTGGCAGCTACACCCGTTCTGTCGTTCGACTCTGAGTCTGCCGTGAATCGCGACCTGCTGACGTTTCTTCATCAAGGAACAGAAGCTATAAAATTCTTCGATTTTCTCGATCATTCGATTTTAAATTCTGTTCTTCATCTTTAAAAGTAGTTTTCAAATTATATCAAAATGGATTTTCAACGGAATTATTCACAATTAGTGCTCAGTAAAGATGAAATAACCATAATCAAATTAGTGCGCGAGCGACTGTGAAAACACTCACTATCTGTTCTTATGGCCGAGATCGAAGTGTATTCCATAATGGAGCTCTGTTATTGACCGATAGATTCGATTCGTGTGTCTCATTTCCTATTCTTAAATTTAGTAAATTTATAATACAATTAAATTTTCCTTTTTTCCTTTAAGTTTCTTAGCGTCTTTCAGGTTTCTTAGTTTGAAATTATAGGTGGTAAAGGTAATTTAATTTTTTCCTAGTTTCGTATAATGAATAATATCAATCTTCCTCTTGTTGATTTCAAATAACTTTGTCGATTTCTCCGCGACAATGATAAAAGTTATTTTCTTCGATTCATTGTATATATTCTTATGGTAACTAATATTTCCTAAGGTTAGGCAATATTTGATGAGAATCACATTGAATATAATAAAATCTTAGTCGAAGTGTATAGATACAGATGATTTTTTTTGTAATTTAAAAAAAGTGAATGCTTTAAATTGAAACAATTATTAATCATTTAAATATTATTACACTGCAGTTAAATATTGTGTATACATTAGTTAAATTTTGATTAAATTCCATTTATGATTCAAATTTCGTGTATTTTAATAAAAAATTTATTATAAAATTTTATGTGTATATTTAATATGTGATAATATTACAAATTAACAGGATCACCCTGGCGTGTGGGCATTATGCCAGCCCCAAAAATGTCAGTGATTGGGGATTCAATAAGATTGGTCCCTGCTGGTAGTCCAGCACTTTTTGAACTTTCTGCTCTTGGCTTTAGTAATAATGAAATTGATGTACAAATTATAAGTATGTATTCAAAATCAATTATATATCATATTTAAAATTATACTTATTAATAACATTTTTATAATAAAAATGTAACAATCATTTTTAGCACCTTCTAAGAGACATATACCAGCAAGAATTAATGAAGAATCAGGAAGATCAGGAGAATTTCGTGTTGAATTCACTCCAATTGAAGTAGGCAGTCATCTTGTAGAAGTAACCATCGCTGGACAAAAGCTACCGGCAGGACCACTAGTTGCCAAGGTGTACAATAGCAGTTTAATTCAAGTTACTGATATACCCAGTGCTGTTGTAGGACATGCCTGTCAATTTAGAGGTAACTGAAAATAATTAATTGTAAAAAAAGTTGTGATGCATATAAATTTATGTTTGATCTTTGTTAATTTTATAGTTGATGCTAGTGCTGCTGGTGAAGGACAACTTGAAATTTCTATAAATGAAGGAGAAGTACCTAATCATGTTCAAGTAGTAGGAGGAGGACGTTGTCTTGTTTCTTTTACACCAGAAATCGCAAAACCACACTACATTGACATAAAGTTTAATGGGGAAGCAGTGAAAGGATGCCCTTTTATTTGTAATGTATCTGATACCAGTAGAGTAACATTAAGTTTAAATCACCTGGAATTAATTCCAGTGGATCAACCTGCTAGTTTTCATATGGGAGTTGATGGTAGTGGTAGTGCAGAACTTGCAGTTTCTGTAAGAGGTCAGTAAGGATATTATGCCTTCAAATTGATCAATATTAGATGATGTGATGCTAGAAAAGTATACTTTTTAGGACCAAATAGTGAATTGCCTGTGAAAGTAACTGGTGATATAAAAAGTGGGTTTACTGCAGAATTTATTCCAAGAGATGTTGGTGTCCATTCAATTAGTGTTGAATATAATAGCCATCCTGTAAATGGTACACCATTCTTGGCTAAAGCATTTAATGCAGATAAAGTATTAATAGGCCCTGTAGCTAGGGCTAGTGTTGGTCAACCTACACATTTCACTGGTATGTACAACACATATTTATACATCACATTATATCCAATCTCCAACTTTCTTTTCAAATTCATTGTAAAATACCTTTTACCTTGATAGTTGATGCAAGTCAAGCTGGTGAGGGAAATTTAGAAATTACGATATCAGCTCGCAGTCAAAATATACCTACTCAAGTTACACCGCAGGGAAATGCTCGGTTTTCAGTTAGTTTTGTACCATTTGAAGCATGTGAACATATAATTAATATAGCCTTTAATAAACGAACAGTACCAGGCTGCCCGATTATAACTCGAGTAGGTGGTGACAGTCATGTAACAGTGAGTGGGCAGGCATTAAGCAGTGCTGGATTAGGACGACAAAGTTATCTTACCGTCAGTAATGTTGCCGGTAGCTTGGAAGATTTAGAAGTTAATGTTGAAGGTATGTCTATCTTCTTTTTATTATCATTGACAGTTTCTATTGCAATTGTACTTTAATACGTGTATGTCGCATGTATATCTTTCAATTCAAGATTGTACTTTTACTGTTACTGCACAAATGTCACAATTTTCATAGTGATATACTCTATATTTAATATTCTTTTATATCTTGTTGCAATCTAGTATTATCAAATTTTTACAATTGATGCACAATGGTTTTACAGATAGTTGGAAGTATATATAAGCACCTCCTATGTCGTACTTATCATTTTCATAATAAATTTCTGATCTTCTGTTATATGTGTTAGTAATATTCATTCAATAAATTTTGTCTATTAATTATGGTGGGAACTTGCACGAAGTTCTACCTCTGTGTTTGTCTGTCTTGTTAATCTCTAGCTTGAGAGCAATTCTCTCTCTGTTGCAGGTCGGCCAGCTTTCAGACTACGACATTACTAGACTTCTCAAACACAACTAATCTCACTTTTATCTTAATAATGGATTATATCATATAACTGGTGGTGGGTTTTTAACTTGACATTTTCTAAAAATAATGCACAAAGATAGTTTTCTATGTTATTTTCATCTTCTTTTACCTCTAGTTACCACCTTAGAGTATTATAACGGCATTGGTTTTACTGTAATATGTGATTAGTAAAACAGTGACTAACAGTTCAATTGTAGTGTTATCTACTAAATGAAGTAAGGCATATACTATATGCGTGACAGCCATTTTTATGGTGCTATATATATGTTATTAATTTTATCTTAATTTTTAAATATTACTGCATAAAATTATAGTTTTTGAATGTGAAACTTGGATTGCTTTAGTCAATGTGCCAATATGATCATTTATTTGAATAGTACTTAGTTATTAAGTATAGCATTAACAATGCAAAAGTCGATCTCTAGTGGTTTCTGTTTCTTAAATCTTCATACATTTTGCTTGAGTTACTTCCTTTGTATAACTTCATAATGTAATAATATTAACTAACTATTAATCTGAATTTAACTATCAGATGATACAAGCAGACTAATACCTTATTCCATTTACTTTTATGCATCCCTAATAGTCAATTCGTTCAGAATAATATTTATAGTGTATACATATCTGTGTACACACATACACATATATATATATATTTCTTTTACTTTTTCTAATTAAACATTGCTTATTATAATTAAAGACCTTAAGTTCGAAAAAGAACTTGATAAACTCGCATAAACACTCACTGTTCACTTTTGGTACCCCTGTGATCCACCCTAGTAGTTGGCTGACTAAATTGTATTAAACAACTAACCGGCGGACTTGATAGGACCCAATGGACAGGCCGTACCCGCTCAAGTCACTGACAACAAAGATACAACGTGCAGTGTAGCATTTACACCAAGAGTAGTTGGAGAACATAGAATTTCAGTAAGTCATCGGAATGTTCCCGTGATTGGTAGTCCATTTAGCTGCAAAGTGTATGATGTGACCGCTATTAAAGTAAAGGATGCTAAGCATGGTGTTATCGGAATGCCTGTAACTTTCTTAGGTATGAACACAAATATTTTGAAGTATATTATGCACATAGATAAAGCTGTTGATTTTCATCTCTTTCTTCTTAGTTGAAACTAGTCAGGCAGGACCAGGAAACCTCGAAGTAACAGTAAATGGTGGTCGTGTACCAACATCTGCTCAAGCTCAAGGTCCGCATACATACGCAATATCGTTTACACCACGGGAGCCAATTGTACATACTGTGGATTTAAGGTTTAATGGAGAGGATGTACCTGGTAGTCCTTTCAGTTGCCAGGTATAACACTATTATTTTTTTCGTCTATTGTTATTATTTCTCATTTTTATATATTATAATTATTCTCTAAGAATAATTAATGTAAAACGGTTAAAATGATTTTCGTAAAACGCCAGGTGAGCGACACAGCTAAAGTAATAATAACTGAAGGACTTGAAAAAGTATCTGTAAATCGCTTAACAACATTTACGATAGAAGCAGATACCTCTTTAGGAACTCCAACAGTGGAGGTTCTTTCACCAACCAGAGAAAGTTTATCAATTCATGTTAAACAAAGTGGTCATGGATGTTATACTGCGGGATTCACACCTAAAGATGTTGGTATGTGAATCAATAAGAAACTATAATAATTAAGAAAATATTTAAAAAAAATACTACATCAAACTTGTAGGGGATCATAGTGTTGAAGTGAAAATAAATGGATTACATGTAGAAGGTAGTCCATTCCTAGTAAAAGCTTATAATGCTGATAAAGTAAAAGTAACAGATATAAATAGTGGTGTTGTTGGCAAACCAGTTTTCTTTAGCAGTAAGTGAGTTTTATTCTTTTATTTTATATATTTATTATATTTTATCTATTCATTCATATTTTAATTGTAGTTAATGCTAGTCAAGCGGGTGCCGGTAATCTTGAAATTATTGTTGCTGTGAATGGTAAAAATGTACCAAATTATGTACAAAGCGAAGGAAATGCAAAATTCAGAGTTAATTTCAAACCACAGGAAGCTGCTATACACAGTCTTAGTGTTCGTTTTAATGGAGAACCAGTTCCAGGTATATAATAGACTTGTAGTAGTTATATATTAAATGTACAAGATTCAAATATAATTTTTTATGTTTAGGTTCGCCATTCAATTGTAAAGTAGTTGGTGCAGGTCAAGCTGTAATTACAGGTCACAATTTAAAAATGGGAGCTGTAAAGCAGTTAATGTCCTTTATTGTAGATCCACAAACTCCTTCAACAAATTGTGATGTAATCGTAATACCTCCATCAAATATATCTCTCCCTATTACAATAGAACCTATAGATGGAAAATATAATATTAGTTTTGTACCTATGGAAGTGGGCAGACATAATATTAGTATATTAGTGGACAGTGAACATGTTAAAGGCTCTCCATTTGCTTGCAATGTTTATGATGTTACAAAGGTAATTTATTAAAATTAAATTTAATTTATTAAATTTAAATTTATTAAAATTAAAATTGTTACAGATTCATGTATCCGGTCTTACGGAAGCACTGTTAGGTCAAGCAACAACATTTACTGTTGATGCCGCAGAAGCTGGTGAGGGTACGTTAGAGTTAGTCGTGAGTACAGAAAATAACACAGTTAAGGCTGAAGTGGTTGCCTGTGCTCGTGGATTATACGATGTAACATTTGTTCCACAAACTACTAGTACTCATTATGTCAATATTAGTTTCAATGATGATAATGTTCCAGGTTTGTGAATTTAATGTTTTTATTTCCTCAGCAGATATTAATATTCACAGAAAGTCAGTAACCTTAGTATTATTGTTTACTAGGCAGTCCATTTAAATGTCCAGTGATTAGTACAATGTTAGATGGACCAACTATGATTCGTGTTGGGAATACAGCATGCATGGATTTAGAAATGCCAGGATTAGAGGGGCCTGTATCTTCCGAGGTTACAGGTGAGCTTATATTCCGTGTATTACTATTTTTATATATTATATCCTGTAATGTTATAATTTAACTGCACAATCTAATACAGGACCTGAAGGTATAATTATTCCGTGCACATTAACAAAATTATCACCTACTCTATATCGAGTAGAAATTCGAACACGGCAAGTTGGAACTTATAGCATAATATTCAGTGACGGTCATAAAATGATTAGTTCTCAAACACTTCAAGCTTTTGATCCAGGAAAAGTAACCATTAAGGAAGTGTCAGATGTAGTTTGTCATCGACCAGGAACCATTATAGGTATATATAACATATAATTTTATTTATTTATTTACGAAGGTATAAAATGCTTCAAGTAACACTGTTTAACATGAATTTTAATCTGTAGTATCAATTCAGTAATTCTTATCGAGCTTATTTTCTTTAAAATGAATATGTAATTTAATTTGCTCTATCACTTTCAGTTTTCGAAAATTGAGCTTTTCTAAAAACTCACAATTTTCGAAAATTGAAAGTAATGGAGCAAATTCGATTACGGATTTGAGTTCAAGAAAGCTCTAGAGGAATTACTTAATGGATATTACAGATTAGTAAAAAGGTTAAATTTTGGAAAGGTAATTTCCAGCAATCAAAGTGTAATTTATTGTTAAATTCTTTCATAGTGGTTGCACCAAAGGAAGCTGGGCCTGGAAAATTAACTGTAAATGTACGTGCTGCTGGTGCTGATGTTGATAGTGTAGTTAGAGATGGTGAAAATGGTCAATATGATATAATGTTCCATCCTACACGAGCAGCTCCACATAAAGTTCATATAAAATATAATGAAGTTCATATATTGGGTATGTTACTTATTGTTTATTTTGATAATCATTTATGTTATTTCGTTTTAGTTCATTTATATTGTTCATCGCATAATTTTTGTTTGTAGGAAGCCCATTGGATGTGACAGTTCGTGGTCCCACTGGCGGAAGAGAAGTAACTGCAACAGGATTGGGATTATACCAATCGTGTGTCGGTAAAGTAACCTCATTTACCATCGAAACTTTAGGAAGTCCTGGAAAAGAGTTCGATGTAGTAATCAGTGGACCACAAGGTAATGCAGTTCCAGTTCGATGTTATCAACATCGAGATGGAAATTTACTTGCTGAGTTTACTACAAATAACGTCGGTACGTAATTTAAATATACAAGTAATAATACTATTAACATTATTGTATTAATTGTATTAAATTATTGTAATAATTAAACTATTTTAATTCTATCAGGAACATATAAAATTGATGTCTTACAAGGTACAAAACCAGTTTTGGGTTCACCTTTCTTTTGTCAAGCTTTTGATGTTACTAAAGTAAAATTACAAGAACTAGGACCTATGACAGTGTCTGTACATGATCACATTGCCTTTAAAAGTATGTATTTTGCAATAAATATATATATTTATATTTTGCAAAATAAAAAACGTATTCACTAATCGTAATCATAAATTATTATAGTAATAAAAGCAGATGCTGGAATGGCAGATTTGGACGTAGTAGCTACAAGCCCATTAGGTCAAGAACTTCCTTTACAAGTTACTCCGCTTAATGATGGTGCTGAAATGGTTGAATTTTCTCCCAGTGTACCGGGTACATATATGATTAATATCACATATGGTAAGATTAATGTATCCGTTATCTTAAAATATTTATTGTAACTTCTTTGAAAAATACATACATATATACATACATATATATCTTTTTGTGTTCAGGTGGTTGCCCTATACCAGATAGTCCATTAGTGTGTACAGTTGATGCGACTGGACAAGCTCGTGCGAAAGGGGAGGGTTTATTAAGTGGTCATGTAGATAAAACAGCGCACTTTATTGTGACTGGTACAAGATGTCCTCCGGCAGTTCAAGTAACTATGAAAAAACAATATTTCACATAATACATTTATAAATTTTATTATGTCATGTTACGACTCATTCGTGTTTGTCTGCAGGTAGATGGCCCGGATAGTGTTTCAAAAGCAATTATTGAAGCTGGGGCTAATCCAGGTACTTGGAATATATCTTATGTACCAACCGAAATTGGAGTATTCGATATCAGAGTCGTTTCTGCTGGCCAACAACTTCCAGGTTCTCCTTGGCATCCAAAGATAATTGATACACGAAATCTTCGTGTAATTGGTAAATAATAATAGTAACAGTTGTAGTAATAGCAGTAATAATGGTAATAAAAAGAAAGAAGAAAAAAAGAATGTATTAGTTTTCAGAAATGTGTTCTTTTTGTTTCTAAGGCGGTTGGCCAGCTGTATGTGACGATGTTGGACGGTTGAAATTACATCCATCAAATAAAATTAGTTTTGATACTGCCGAAGCTGGACCTGGTGAACTTACTGGGAGCATAGGAGATCATGCATTATCTTTTGAAATGACTTCAAATAATAGACTGAAACTTATTTCACCACAATTAAATAGCGGGGAACATCGTTTAGAAATATTATTTAACGGAACTCCATTTCCAGGTGCTCCGAAATTAGCAATTGTTCAAGATTTAGAGGTATTAAAATTATGCAGGATTAAGTTTATGCTACAGTAACTTTGGAAAATTATTGTTACTTCTTGTATTTAGCCACCTATACAAGATACAAGTCGTGTTTTATTAAGGGGAAGAGGATTAACATCAGCAAAATGTGGAGAAGAAGTTAGTTTTACGATAGATGGTTCTCAAGCTGGTACAGGAACACCAAAAGTTCAACTTTTTTCACCAACCAGCGAGCTCAATGTAATGTTACAACATTTAGGTAAATATTTCTTTGAATAGTTACAAGTCGTCTCATTGTATTGAATTTTTTAATTTAAATTATAATTTTGTGCTCAGGTGACAGCGTTTATCGAGCAAGTTACATACCATTAACACCTGATCCTCTTTTGATGACTGTGTCTTGGAATGGAAGACAGCTAAAAGGATGTCCTTTACAAATAAACGTAACTAGTGCAGCTGATGCATCTCGAGTTATTTGTTCCGGAGATGGATTGAAGCATGGTATAGTCGGTCAAGAAATAAGAAGTTTTATTGACACAAGACGCGCAGGTCCTGGTATGTATTATAGTTCAAAAACTGTATATTTATTACCTATTGATAGACATTAAGAGCAAATATATCTTAATATTTAGGTGAATTGACGGCACATTGTGTTGGTCCCCATAAAGTGGCTTATTGTGAACTGTACGATCACGGTGATGCAACGTTTACATTGAATGTAAAACCTCAAGAAGCTGGACGCCATGCACTGACGATTAAATATGCTGGAGAACACGTACCCGGTTCCCCTTTTACATTACGTGTTTCTGGGGCTCCAGATGCTTCAAAGGTAGTAATTTGGGTTCTAAATTTTAAATCAAGATGCAATGACCTATTTCAGTTCAAAATAATGTAAGTTAGGAAAATAAATATTGAAAAATATTCTTAACAATAGGTTCGGGTTTACGGACCAGGTATTGAGCATGGAGTGTTAGCAACGTTTCAATCGCGCTTTATTTGTGACACTCGAGGAGCTGGAGCCGGTCAGCTCACCGTAAGAGTTCGTGGCCCTAAAGGAGCGTTTAGAGTAGAAATGCAAAGAGAAACTCAAAAAGATCGTATAATACTTTGTCGGTATGATCCAACGGAACCAGGCGATTATAGAGTCGAAGTTCGTTGGGCAGGCGTTCTCGTACCTGGTTCTCCATTCCCCGTTAAAATCGTCGACACACAAGATGAATTACTAATGTTAACACAGGTAAAATCACAATGATAAGAATATTAAAAATATAAAAACGTATTCAAAATGATAGCAATATAAAAATTACTTTTTTTTCATTATTTTTAGAGTGGAGATAATTATTCAACGGGACATCATACTATCGCCTCTTGGCGTGGATCACAAGCTATATTATAAAAATATTACATATAAAGTTGTTATTATTTTGTACGAACTAATAATATATTTTCATAATATATAATGATTCTATAACTTATCTAAAACGTTTGCAATAAAATAAATATTTTGACAACTTTTCTCTTTATATAATTTATTTTACATATTGTAGAGTACAGCATAAACTCAGTTTTTGGTTTATATAATATTACGGAACGAAACTTATTAGTAAAAATAACAACTGTTCTATTTATAAAAATGTAATATATTTTGTGAAGAATTATGAGCATCGTGTACACTACGTTTTCTTTTTTTTCTCTAACTTACTAAGTTCTCTGAACACGTGTTTCTTAAATTCTTTTTGTCTCTGGAGTTTCCGTGCTTCCACGGCAGCAATTTGAGTTCGATGTGCCTTAATTCTTTGTTTTGTAGTTTCTCTAAGTTGTTTTTGTTTATAAGCATAATTGGTTTTGATCATTTGCATGAGGCTCGCCACTCTCGCTTCTTTTGGTTCACGTACTACTGCTATCCTACCACTTTTAAAGATCGATTTGTCCCTGTCACGAATTGGCATTAATTTCGGTTTGTCTCGATACGGAAGCTCTTTCTGTAAGCTTCGAGGTATAGATAAGGGTTTAAACGTTGTTACTGGTCTTTCGACAGGCGTATAACTAGAATCTTTATTAGCAGGTATACGTATATTCTTTTCTCTTTTTAACTGACCAGTTGTTTTCATACCTTGCCAATGATTTTTTTCTTCGGGAGGTAATAAGAGTGAAGTAATAGGATTATAAAATTTTGGAACATCAACTTTGTACCAAGTTCGACAGAAAACAATATCGCTCAAAAGTATTTTATCTTCGAATGTTGCGCGGAAACATCCTTCGGGCTTTGATAGAGCTTTCTTTATTTGACCACGTATACCAGATACAGTTTTTATTCTGGCACCTTCAAATTTTGCTACCTCAAGCGCTGAATTAAACATATCTTTTATGAAAGCAGTTTTTTTGTAAATCTTCATTGGAACACCGGTAAGTTTTAATTTTTTCATGATCTGTGTACTCTTGTCCATTTCTACAATGGTACCTGTTGCTGCTATTCTAAAACCTGGTAGCCTAGTAGCCACATCTTGAACTGCTAAAACACCTGTACCCTGTGGTGTAACAGGACCCCAAAAATGTGCCATACAGGCAACATGTTCTGGGGTATACTTTAACATCCTATTTCTTAAATTGTCTTCTAATTTTGAGAAAATTGGTAACGTTTGAAATCGACGCCATCCTACGGAAAGTATCAATGGATCTTTGCTCTTTAGAATTTTTGGATACCATCGATGCTTTTTTATTCTTGTCTGTACGTATCCTATGTTCTCTTCCCCATGTAAAAGTCCCCCAATAATCAATGGATATGTGGGATCTAAATGAGTAATAAGTTCATGTGGTACAGTTTCAATTTCAACACGAACGTACATACCTGGACGATAACCTTCCAACTGCACTCTCACATTATCCTCTATTCCCTCAAATTCTGATTTATTTAGATTCGCTTGCTTTTCAACCTCTAGTTTTAATTCATCGTAATATGTTTTATTCTCGTCATTATCGTACTCTAAATCAAACTGTTCTTTTAATTTTTTCTTTTTTTCTAAAAGCTTTTTCTTCTCCTCTACCACATCCACTATTGGTTCTTTTGTTTCGTGTTTTTTCCCAGCTTCTAAATCTTCAAAATCTCCGTACAATTCCTCATCATTTATGTCATCTAATTTTAAAAGTTCTTCTGCGTCTTCTGATTCTTTCCATTTTCCGGTTACGAAGCGATTCATTACAAGTATCTTATTTTCTTCAGTCAACCAATCACGCTGATTTGTTGGAAAAAATATACACTCCTCTTGGTTTTGTAGTTCTCGTTCATGTATTCCTTGTTTTTGTTGTTCTTGAACTACACGAAAGATACCACCTATTTCGGTATTTTCGTGCTCAACTTTCTCCACTTCTTTATTTTCTTTTTCTATGCAATTTTTATCAAATGCTCCATAAACGATTTTCATGAGATTTATGTTATCTCGCTGGCGATTTTCAAATGCTTGTCTGGCCTTCTCAACTAAATTTGATTTCCATTTTATTTCATCTTCAACTTCTTCTTCATTCTCGATCTTGTCAGTTTCTCCAATACTATCGATTTTGATATTTTCATCTTCTTTATTTTCTTTTTCTTCGTAATCTTCTTCGTCGGAGGCCTCATACCGAAAATCAGTTTCTTCTTCTGCGTCATCTATTTCTAAATCAACTCTAGAATCTCCATCACTAAGTTCATCAAAGCTTTCATTCTCGATATTCATTTTCTCCTTTGATTTAGTCGTCTCTGAATTTAATTGATCCAGTACATTTTTAATCTTATTCTTTATTAAGATATCTGATTCCTTGCTTAGGGAATGATAAACATCTACAGTATTTGATATTTCTGAAACCCCAGAATCTGTCAAATTTGAAAACTTCTGTTTCATAGTAGACACGTCGCTGTTCTCCAGATTCGATACATTTGGCAAACTTTTCCTCTTTTTAACATTTTCTAGTTGGCAAATTTCATTTTTTCTCTTCATGCCTTTCCTCTTATTCATTTTTTTAATATTATGTTCATCTTGTTCACTCAATTTTATATCTTCCAAGCTGTCATCATCCACTTCTTTTAGACATTCAACTTTTGTTATCGCTTCATGTACTTCTTCCACATCGCCTTCAGTTTTTTCATCTTGATCGCTATGCAATTCCTCATCTTTGACATCTTCCTGATCACTTTCATCCGACATATCAGAAGATTTTGCTAAAGATTCAGCATCAAGGAATAAAACCTTTCTCCTGATTCTACCATTATCATTTACAGTTTCTGTCTTATAATTGCCAAAATCTTCATTTATATCTTGTGATTTTATAGGAGCAGCATTACTAAACAATTGTAATTCACTGTGTTGTAATTTTTGATCTAATGTTTCTTGGGCATCCATTAATGCTCCAATCAAACCTGTCTCTTCCTCTTGATGAGAATGGCTACCACCCAATTCAACATAAACAGCATCTTTATCATATACAATACCACCAACACCAGAAAAAGGTGCATAAATTAATCTCTCTTTTTCTACTAATGCACGTTTCTTTAATTCTTCTGGTAAAGGACATGGATCTGGCAGAAAGCTAATATCTTTGATTTTTAGGTCTCCACAACCAGGGATATGTATGGATGTTTCTTTGTTTAATGGAATTCCCCTTACGTACCTATTAATATTAATGTAAGATTAATATTGAAAATTTTTTTAAATTATAATACATACATATATATAATATATAAACTTTTACATACCCATATAAACTAATTGTTCTGTCAACTTTTGAATTTTGTCTAATTAATTCTGGAGATGTTAAATCTTCCACTCTGTCAACCATAATGTAAGGATGCGTAGTACGCCAAGTTAATGGCCTAAATTTCATGACAGATATGAATCTAGCTAAATTCTTAACTTCTGTACGTAAATATTCTCCATGAATTAATCCAGACAGATAAAACAATTTTGCTCCAGCATAAACTTCTGTCCAAAACCTTTGTTTCAATATCTTCTTGGTTCTTTTCAACTGTTTTGCTTGTTTTATTAAATCTAAGTGAGTTAAAACACCCATTATTCTAGGCATACCATGAACTTGACAGATATTTAGAAATTCGAATATTTCCATTTCAAAACCAAAGGATGCATCTATTAAGAGCAGTACAAGGTCTGCTACTTTAGCGATATCTATCATACTGTTTATATCATTGTTGCATTCCATAAAAGTAATTCTCCTTTTTTTACTAGAAACAACAGTAACAGGACCAAGTATATTGACCAATGGTTGTCTCACATAACTCTTAATAAGGCACTGAATTACTAAAGATTTACCAACTTTTGGAGGACCAACAACAGCAACTAAAACAGGAGGAGGTTCAAGAGGTGTTCTATCAACCAATGGTATGTGTTGTTTCTTTGTTTCTATGTCTTGTTTTCGTCTAAAGCGTCTTTCTGCCTTAATTGCGGAATTAAATGTAAATGCTTTTGGATTTTTCTGTTTGTCCGTGAATTCTTCAGCATGATTTTTCTTTGCTTCCTTTTTTTCTGCTTTACGACCGGCATTGCGTTCTCTATGAATTTTATGGGTAATCGTACCATTTGATTCTTTTGACATTTTCAATTATTTTTATATAATCTGTAATTTACAACCGGGTTACGTGTATTACATTAATAATACCAAAAATTCACACTAACTGCTCTGGTGTATTTCACCTCAGTATTAAGGTTATATTATACCAATGATACATTTTATGCACATACTCCAAGTAGGAATAAACGATGTAATATCCGAAAATATTTCAGTGTTTTCACAATAAGCAGATATTATAATTTAGAATATAATATATAAGAAACACAAGCATTATTACAATTTGAAACTATTTACACGTGTTGTCTATAATAACCAACATGTCACTTATCGCAAAACGGTTATCGAAGTTATAATTTGTGAACAATAAAATGATATACGTCAATATTAGAAAATATATTTTATAAAATATGAAATATATGGCTAATAATTAATAAATGATTGGAATAATAATTTAAAAATTTTATGACTAATGAGAAATATTCGTTCTTAATATTTTGGATCTCTCGGTTAGTACTACTGCTTCTCCGTTAGATGGTTATAGTGTAACGTTTTGATAGAATATAGAACTGTTTGTATATATTTAACGTAGTCCTTTGGAAATTTTATAAGATCTTGATAAGTATCAAGATTGTTTATAAAAATAGTATTCTTCGAAAAAGCAAAGTTTCGTGAAATAATACGAAGGGATATATGTTAAGATGAATTATCATCGACACAGTCGCTATTCCCTCGGGGTCAAACGATACTAGACTTCGATTGAAAAGTCATCGATCAAAGGTACCTTAATTCATACAATGGCCAGTGATGTTGTAAAATGTGGAGACATGATCGATCGTTGTTCAGTGTCGAAGTAACGAGCTGGTTAAGCGAATACAATATCGTACTATTCTATGAAAGTAAAAGTAAGAAGAATGAAGTTTGAAAGATTTTTGAAAAGGTGTGGCGATCTCTGGGAAATTAGGAAACAGTGCAGTTTCGCGGTTGTTCCGGTCTGTCAAATTGGCCCCTGACAGCTGTCGCCTTTAAAAATCACGCTTAAAAAAATTGTTTAATATACGATCGCGGATCCGCAACGGTTTGCATGGCACTTGTTTCCAATTGAGATGCCTCGAACCGCAACGAATCGCTGCGACGATTGGGGTAACTTTTAAATGGAAGTATAATTTTAGGGTGTGCACATTCCCATTCGACTTCCCAAATGTATATATTCATTTAAGACCAATGATCTTTTTATCTCTTTTATTCTCACTTCCGCAGTTACGATTGTCCAAAATCTAACATTTTCTTCGTAGGTCGACATTTTCAGTGACTATATAAACTAACAATAATGCAAGAACGTGTACCGACTTTTCGATTTTCATTTACACGTTCGTACATATAATATGATGAACTGCCTTGAACAGTAGTTAATCGAAGAGTTGATTAATCGTGGAGGGCAAACCAGTGTGGCACAGATGGCATGGAATGACATACTCTGTGACTCGTCGCATTTTCAAACGTTCAGACGTTTAGCGAACACGAAAAAGTTTTCACCGTTGCTCGAGCTTCTCGCTATATGGGAAAGGAAAAGAAAGAAGAAAAAGGGAGGTTAGGTTCGATATACTCATCAAGAAAACGTCGCGTTTTCAATTGGTCTCGTATAAAGTATTTATCCTGATTATTATTTCAGTATGCGGAACCCAAGGAATGGTACGATAGAAAAGAAAAAGTCAAGAATGGAAAAGATTCGCGAGAATAAAGAACAATAGAATACGCGAATCGTAGAATCATAGGGGCGAATATTTATCGTTATAGGACGATCGGACGTAATGCGATCGTCGATAAATTCACGTGTATGCGTGAAAATGGTGTAACGCGATCGCTGATAAATTCATATTTCCGTGTGTCCAGTGGAAGAACAGTACCAACAAATCGTAAAGCACTGGACCACGCGATCATAACGGCGCACGCGAATCGGCATATGCGCGCGCACGTTGATTCGAACTCAAGTATTCCGAACAATATCAGCCAATTATCGGACGATTGTGTCGCGGCGCCAACTGTCAACGTCGATGGTCAACCAGCCGATCGGGAGAGGGAGTGACCACCGGTCGAATCGATACGCGGTCCATCACCCTTCGCGCCGATCGAATTCCGAACCTTTGTTTTCCCAAGAAAGATCATACCAGGCAACAGCGCTTATATAGTCGATTTCGCTTGGTCACGAATGCGACTAATTGTATGCGTGTTTACTTTACACCGAACGTTCGTTGTTTGTCCAGCAGATGGACTCCGGACCATTGGACAAATCCACTTCAAGTTCTCTCGGAATTATGAATATAAACATTCGTAGATCGAAACAGCGGTATATCCATTTCTAGAACGATTCCCATCTACCGATTTCCATCGTCTCGACGGAGTACCGAAAAAAATTATACCATGAACTTTTCGAAAGCGTAAAACGTAGCAACATGACTTAAAGGAGGAACTCGGTAGGTCTCGACACTCATTCGGAAGCGGTCTCACACGCGCGTACACGAGCAACGAGATTCGCGACACGCGACTTCACGTGCGTGAGTCGCGTGCAGACCGGAAACGGTAGTCGGATACTTTGCTTCGATTTCAACAGCTTCGATTCCTCCCGCCATAAAACGACGCGTAATATCGCGTCAGATCTCGTCTACTCATTTCATCTTTCTTCCAAATGTTCAACTTTCTTCTAAACTTTTCCATTACCTATATTTGTACCTCTCGAGACCTTGGAGTATCCGACCCAAGGCAACTTGCTAATGGTCGATAATTCGGATTCTCTTGTTTTTGTAATATCGGGAGTAGGTGGGAGCCAGTGGTCATTCACTTTTGACAAAAAATCGGTGATACACGATTAGTCGGTTTGGTTCCCACAGGCGACCACCGTATCGATAATCATGCGAGCGCGTGCCGCGTGCGATTGCCGCGTGAGAACATTCTATCGCGATCGCACCCTCCCTCGTAGCCAGTCACCCTCTGTACTTCGGAAAGCGACTATTCGCGAGTTCTGACTACCGTGGGAGCCAAATCAAGAGATGGCTTAACCAGCAAGGCGATTTCACGCTGACCTGTGTTACATCGATTCGCGAGATCGAGTTTTCGCGGTAAATAGGTTTAACGATTCGGTTTTAGACGTTTTAGAAGACTAAACACGTGTTTACGTATACTCGACGAAAGAACAACGTCGTGAATGATCGTAATGAAATTGGCTCAAGTGGCGCCATAATTCCAGATTTCGCGAAATCTCGCACGGACCATGACGAGGGTAGAGCAGCGCAGCGTGTGACCAGCTAAGCGCCACGAGCGTTCCCACGAAAATCGCCCCTTTTGATCGCCGTTTTACTGCCCCTTCGCTTCTATTTCTCTCCCTCTTTCCACCTTCTCCCCGTCTCTTTTGTCGCCCTCCGTAACCCCGACGAAGCATGGGGTTCTAGAGAGTCTAGCGATCGCTTTTCACCTTGCGATCGAGAAGCAGGGAACAGAGAAGTTTCCCCCACTTCTTGGCAGCGCGGCGCACCTAGTTCCCCCACTGCTAGGACCAGGCACGAAACGGGGCACGCGGTCGTGTGTCGTCCCCAAGTCCTCCCGCACACGACATACGTCGGCCGCCACGCGACCAGTGCACACGCCTGCGAGTGCAGCGCGTTTCGCAGCACCACGCAGTCTAAACGTATCGCGAGCCTTCTTTGCGCGCGCACACGCGACCGCGAATTTCATCGGGAAGTCGCGGCACGTGAACTTGATCGACTTCCGACTCCGAACTGTGCTCCTTGTCTACGTTTTCTTGATTGCTCTCGCGATTCTCGATAAACTCACGGTATCACCCGTGTACACCGTTATCATGTTCACGATGTCGAACGCACGCGCGAATCAGCGGTGAGCATCGCGGGAATTCGATTCACGTTTCATCCGCGAAGGACAATTGGTTCTTGCGCGGTGGAACCGAAGAAAAATCTGTGATTACTTCGTAGGAATATATAGATATAATTGGAAAAAGATAATCAGCAAGATCGACGCTAATCGGAGACACAATGTGGAGGGTAGTAGTAGCGCGATCGGACGAGAACAGCACTCTGCTGTCATCGGAGATCGCTTCCGGGCCAGTCGGTCCGAATCACATCTCTGGACTCTCTGGACCACCTTCCGGTCACCACCATCATCACTGGGGCTACCCACCTCCGCCTCATGCGTCTTATCAGCCACAGCATTCCGACGCACCTCGTCATCATCATGATTCGCGTCCACCTCACGACCTCAGGCACCCGACCGGCGCCGATCTCAGGCCTCAGGAGCTCAGACACGATATGCACAGATCGGATCTCAGACATCCGACAGCTCCGGAGATGCGACACCAGCCCTCGGAATTGCATAGGTCCGAAATGGCGAGGCATCATCAGGATTTAACGGCGATGAGACCGGATATGAGGCCAGATATGAGGCCAGATATGAGACCGGATATGAGACCGGATATGAACACGGAGATCAGGTCTAGTCACGAGTTCCCCGATCTCAAGATCGACGTCGCGGACATCAGGAGTCAGGAGAACGGGCAACAGCAGCAACAGCAGCAACAACAACAGCAGCAACAAGGATCTCAACAGGGTCCGACGCATCAACAGAGAAATTTGAAGAGGACCATGAGCGATTCCGACTGCGACGACGTATTTTCCGAGGAGAGCGGCAAAGAACCGTAAGTACCGCGATCGATTGGCGAATAATCGCGATCATCGCCTGTAATATCCGATTATTCGCGACATATGTCGGCTTGACTTCGAACGACGCGGTAATTAAAATCTCATTGTCTCCCGGAAGGGACCGCTTTCGAAAGAGTAACCCTTCCTCGTGGGGAATAATGTGACCCGCTGCCAGCGAAATCGAAATCTATAAAATCGCAGCGGCGAGGCCAACTTTATTCACCATCGTTTTCTTCTTCTCGATGCAGCTGCAATTCGCCAGGAGGCGATTCTTGCCAGCACGCGTCGCGAAAACGAAGAAGAGGAATGATCGAGAAGAAACGTCGCGACAGAATAAACGCGTCCCTCGGCGAGCTGCGGAGGTTGGTGCCGGCAGCAGCGAGAGATCCTCACAGTGGAAAATTGGAGAAGGCAGAGATTTTGCAGCTCACCGTGGAGCATCTGCGAACGCTTCGAAACAAAGGTAAATCTCCGAGAGGATTCGTGTTTACGAATCGGTTGATCGTAGAACGAACAAACCGGGGATATATCCCGTGAATCGGTACGATACGATACCTTTTCGTTCCGGAAGACACCTGTTGACCGTACTGCATCGCGAAACGTCGTCCTAGTCGATCATCGTGTGACTCGACAACCGAAAAACCATCTGTCGTCCGTGCGTTAAACTCGTGCAAACGATCGCGATCCTTCGTGTCCCTGCAATATCGATGATTGAAACGATGAAAGAAACGAAAGTAGCGGAACATCGAAGAATCATGAAATTCGTTAACAACGAGATCTCGGGCTAATGCGAAGAGAAAATAGAAAAAAAAGCAAAGGGAGGCGGTCGGGCGGTATTCGAAAGCAATTCGGAATATCGGAGCGTGGTCGAACGAGATATTCGAGATAAACGCGTAAAGAAGCAGGTGCTGGAGCCGAATCGGAGATCCTGTGGGAAGCACAGGAAGTCAACGACTCTTCCGAAGTGGTGTTCCCACGATTGGTGGCAAGTTAGGTAGTAGTGGGGTGTTCCGCGTGTGGCACCCTTCGTGAAGGAGGCACCGAGTTGCCCACGGTCGGGGCAGATGTCGAACCCTGTGGGAAACCGACTCCCGTTTTATATCTATGAGCGTTCGTACCACACGCACATAACCTACCGTACGTGTTCTTACCTTCTCGTCTACCTATCGGTTATCAACGTTTATCGATAAAAGATCACGTAATCCATTTTTCGTTCTCTCTTTTTCCTCGCTTTTTCTCTCTTAGTTTCTCTCCTAGAAAAACGCGAACTTCGGTATCTTTTATCATTTTCGCAAATTTTTTCGAGGTGAACAACGGATTTGCGTATCGCCCTAAACGTCGTCGAAAAGTCTCCATTTTCCGGTAAAGATTTAATCTTGTACCGTATGGCGTTTACTACGAGCGACACCTATACACCGTCTTATACGGGGGTCTAAACGGTTCCCACGCTACCTGTCCCATTACTCTCCTCTATAGAATATAATGCCGGCTGCTTCAACAGCCGAACCAGCCCATTTGCCATTTTCCCCATCCTTTCCGGATATTTAGCGCTAATTACGATAGATACGCGGTGAAAATAAACGACGAACCCGAACCTGTTGATAATAACCCATTCGCGTAATTTCAAAGGTCCAGAGGGATACGACAGTACAAAGCTGGCAATGGACTACCACGCGGTTGGTTGGGGTGAATGCGCAGCCGAAGTAGGCCGCTACTTGGTCACCATGGAAGGACTCGACGAGAGAGATCCTCTGAGGTTACGATTGCTCTCTCATCTCCAAAGTTTCCACCGCGAACATCCCCCGTCCGCGGGACCCGCGAGCGTTCCTCCGGTGACCAGCTTGACAGCGACCTCGACGAGCAGCAGCTACGAGCCAGCGAGCACCGTTTCTACCGGAATGCCAGCTGGAACGGGAACCATGCCACCCCTTTTGGGTGGGACCGCTCTCGGATGGAGCCAGTATCCGGGACAGTATCCTCAACAGCAGCACGGCAAACCTTACAGACCATGGGGTGCCGAACTGGCCTATTGAGATACGACCTATTCTTAGACCTATCTTCTTAGACCTATTCTTGTGTTCTCCTTGATCGCACTTCGCCTCTCCACCCCCCCCCACCCCTCCCAGCTCTCCAGGATACTTTCGAATTTGTCAATTTCCGGATTTACCATCCGTCATTCATTCGCGCGTACTTCGTCTCTCGTTAACGTTTACTTCAGCCTTTGCCAGTTTTCTCCGACGAGAAGAAACGAAAACGAGAGCGTCGACGCATTTCCCTTTTCTTCTCTCTTACGTGTGATACGATACGCGATAGTCACGCGAGTACCTAATAGCGAATTAAAAAGATATTAATTTATTATACGACTCGAATCGTCGCGACGAACCGCGCAGTTCGACTTAGCATCGACGATCTATTGTACAATTTGTATATATAAACGTTTTATTGTAAATAACAAAACGCGACAAGATCGCGAGTACTTTTCTATCTTTCTACTTATATTTTTTATTTCTTTCGATCTTCTTCGTATTTATCGTTCATCCGGTAACAGACACGGTCTAATCGTTCGTGATAGTAATCGTGAACCGAAGAAGCAATCAGACGATCAAACGCGTGAAACAAGTGCCATTAAAAACGTATCATTGCATATGTCCTATGCGAAAACGCTCAAATATTTTTGCAATAACCTTTTCGCAATAAAATAACGATGACGATATCGAAACGAGCCATGGCGTTACTCATTATACCTTTCCTCATCGGGACGTTTGGAAAATCGACCGATTAATACCGATATCTTGCGCAAAAGGTACACCTTGTACCGGTATTTCTTTCTCTTCGACCCTCGCATCCCCTATCATCTCGGGGCTTCCCCGGAACAGGATTCGCGAAGCATGCTGACACTGCTGACACATCGCGTGCGTAACGAGCCAGATCGGCAACTATTCTTATGCAAAGAGCGTTTCGCAGCTTGCAAGAGCGAACTACGCGTCGCGACGAGAAACAAAGTAAACATCCTAGGGTTCCGTTCGAATAGCGGGACGCGAACCAGTTTTGCAACTCGTTAAACCTTTCGTAGAGAATGCCTCCGCAAAACGGGAAATTCGCGGTGTTCTTAACGATCGATGGGAACAATAATTAGGCGCCGCTGGTTTTCACGGATATTCAAAATCCACGGGGAGCGGCAGCAAACCTAATTGTCGAAAAAGAAGAATAGCGCGTGGGCACGTGGCCATTGTTCAATACCCGCCTCTAATTACCGCCGTCTCCGTTGTCCTTTATGTTTCATCTATTTTCTCGCAAACACCGTAAACGCTGCGAACCTCGTTACGATTTATCCCTTTCCATGGTACGTTGTTAGCTACGAGTTCGCTACATCGCGCGTTTAAGAAACACGGTCAATCGCTGGAACTCTACTCTGCGACTCGATCGATCGCTAAACGTTCGTACCCCTTTCATCACGACTGGCATAGCCGCATTAGAGTACGGCAACGCGTGCATGTACTATGTACGGTATGCATGCAGTTACTAGGTCCGGTGTAGCGAACGAACCGCGAAGGAACGAAAGTTTCGATCGAAACTCTAATGACAAGGGTCGCAAAAACTCCGGTGTGTCATCGTCGCTAACGTTATTTTATTTATGACATTCGCATCCGTTAAAAAGTCACAGCCTCATCGGACATACTTAGAATAAAATATCGAGACTCGTTCGTATATCGTATCTATGTACACCCTCGCATATCGTGTAATTAAATACATATACATTCACGTGGTTTCTTATATACATGTAACTATACGTATATATACGCGCGTACAAATGCTACAAAGTAACTGAAACGATGGTCGTCGAAACGTTAATTAGAAACGGCCTATATGTCTATCTTAAAAAAGTAAATGGCGGTATAATTCGAAAAGAATAAATGCGACTAAATACGATTAAAATACGAAGCTTCGGAAGTTGAAGGTGCAACGTTCGCCTCTATTGCACAGAAACGGTGCAATTCTCGGTTTCAAATGCACAATGAAACAATAACATATCGCGAGAAAAACCAAAGAGAAATAATACTTTCGTAGACGAGAATCTCAAAATAATACCGTCAATTTATCTTTTCCATCTTCTACTATTACTCTTTTACGATCGAACGCTAAACTATTCTTCGAAATGAGATCAAAATCAAGTACGTGCTCGCGAAAAAAAAATTTGATACACCAACTGTGATATATATCTGTATGTATATACATAGTCGTTCTTCGGAAGATCGATAGTTAGAAAAAACTATAGCTCGTTTGTTCGATGTTCACACGAGTATTTGGTAAACTAAAATCTACCCGATAAGTCTAGTTTTACCCGGCCAAGGAAATCCACGTGACACTCGCGTGACACGATACGTTAAAGTAATGTACGCGTGTATCGCTGACAGAACCAATGACTCTTCCGTGGTCCAATTTTCATTAAAGTATATAGCTTAAAGGATATTCTCGACAAACAACCATATCGTGGAACGGATTACAAAGGATCTTCAAGTTTCCCATCGGTAAATCTTTCGTTTCGACTTTTCGATGCTTCGCTTCGATGCGTCTTGAGAATGAAAATCGAATCAGTGTCGCTATCGAGGAGAAAGACGAAGATAATGGTGAAGATAAAGTATTCGTTGGAGCGTCGTTTGCTGGTTAGATCATCATTTCGTTCTCCGTATTCTCGTTCCGCTGGTTCTCCTCGTATTCGTCGCAGTAGCAACACATGGAGATACCGTCCTCCGAATTGTCCGCCACATAGGTCGTGAAGGTATCGATGCTTTTCGTATCCAGAGACGGTAAAGACCACGACAGAGACTCTGTTTCGAACTCCGGTATGGCCGAGTGCCAAGAGGTCAAGTTTCCTGACTTTTTCGCCTTGCGGTTTCTCGTCGACAATTTCTTGATGGCCTGCAAATCGAAGCAACAGCCTACGATATAGTTTAGCCTTCTCTCTTTCTCTCTTCGTTTCAACCGATCCGTTTATCGTCAAATAAACCACCGACAAACGCGATTGTCTACGAGGCGATGCACGAGGTCCCAAGTCGAACGTTTGAGAACGATTGCGTACAACGTCGTAACGGGTTAACTCGTGAATACACAGGTATATGTACGTGATGCAATGGCAAAGCGTATGTTCGTGCAATCAATGTCGGGCAAGGCCAAAATTGCTAGGATAAAAAACAAGAGGTTTATCTTAACACTGGTGTAAGAGAAATGTTCGAGAAAAATTAAAACGTTTCTATCGATTCGACGTTTAACGAGCGTGTAAACGACTTTTATACGTATACGGAGAACGACGGTGAGTGGACAAAATTAAGCTGCAACTGCAATGCAGGAATGACACGGTGACTAGGTTAACGATACGATACGCGAAGCTAAGGAAATTAGGTCGGCCGATGCGCCAAAAACATGCGTGCGTGCGGGCGTGCGTGCGTGCGTGCAACAGAGTCAGGAAGGATAATTGTCGTCGCCTTACCCTGAGGAGTCTGCGACCAGATTTGCTCAATAATTTTCTCAACATATCGATGCTGACCCCTCGACCGTATCACGACGGTATACGAATTGTCTTTTGATTCCCAGGAAAATTGAATGTGACGCAAGATTGATTTTCGACCAACGTAAACTCTCACCGTGCCAACAACTCGGTTCGATGCGCACGCTTCGGCGTCACGCGACCAAATACCGCTCCGAGCCACTACACTGTCCTATTTATCACCTCGGTTGGTCCGATCTTATCGTACCACGCCGTACGAATACGAACCACCCTTCCCACCCCCCTCACTCGAACATTTGCCCTGTACTACTTCCGAGTGGAGTCGCGTTCACACGGAATGGCATTCGCGAATAATTTGGAAAAAGGTAATTCGCAAAATTACCTTCCTTCGAGTATACACGAATTTTCCGATCACATAAATACTTCGAAGTCACTTTTTCCGATTTTATATCACGAGAGAGAAACGTGGAGCGGTCCATATGGGATACGAGGGTGGATAATCGAATCGAATTAATGCTCCAACTACTGACTTCGAATCACGTATATTCATTACGCGATAGACGTCAATTATACATAAAATGATTCCAAGCTACGAATTTTTAATACCCAATCAATGCTTTGCTAAAGCTTTTTAATAGTATCGATCATAATATTTTTTTTCCGACTATAAAATAAAAAAGAAAGAAAGATAACTATGTAATTCGTGAACAATCGCACGAGCGATCGTTTGTCGCAATGATCGCGTAAAGGCGATCCGTATCGATTGAAATTCGTTGGCGATGGATACAAGACCGAGGGGAATGGAAAAGAGAGGAGTAGGAGAGGAAGAAAGAGAGAGAGAGAGAGAGACAGACAGACAGACGGCAGACAGACAGACAGAGAGAGAGAGGTGCTCATTGAAAAGTTGGAGGGTGATAGGCGCGTGGCGCAGTCGCGCATACGCATGCGTGTACGCAAAAGTAAGCGCAATACGTAGTACGCACGTGCGCGACGTAACGCGTGTGAGCGAAGTTGTTCTCACGCGGCGACACGCGGCCACCATCTCTGTGATGCGTGTCGCCACGTGCCACCTCGATGCACCCACAGAAAGCTCATAATTGTCATAACATTAGAACTGCACTCACTCGGAGGAACGCCAATACCGGCTACTCGATGTACGACGGTACTCTTCTTTGTAAAACCTCGACACGTCCACCCAGGATAAATGCCCGCTTCCTTTGCCCTTCTACCCACGCCTTTGCAATACCATTCCACACAACACATGTTCGTTGTTTTTCAACAATCGAACAATAACCTCTTCGATCCACGGATCGTCGAAATGTCGATTACCTATTTCCAATCGTTACATTCCATAAACCTGAGTAAGAAATAAAAAGTAAAATATGTCTAAAAAATAAATAATTTGGTAAACTTACAATCGTATATTTTAGGTTAAAGTGTTGCAAGTTATCACCATACAAATTATGTCGCACGATGTCCCGACCTATCTGATGACGTCACCAAGCCTATTTACGTTTCTTATTGTCCTGAAACTAGTTCACTGTCATGTACATGCGTATATATACCCATGCAAAACGTGTACGAAATATACACGAAAAATGTACGAGAAATATACGACATTCGGTAAAATTAACAAGGTTAAGATGAAGAAGGAAAAGATCAATGACATAAAGATGCGTGACGCATCCTTTAATCCCCTCTGCCTTGTCAGTTTTTAATCTTCGTATATCTGAACAAGCAAAGTAACCAAATCATCTCGACACGTGCCAAATATTTCTGACAGTAGTATAACCACTCGTTTTTTCCGTTTCGGTTAAACGATTTTGAACGTGCTTCGGTGACTCGACAAGCAATACTTTAATCGGTTAAATCGATCAATGTCGAACGAAAAGCACTAGGAAAAGACAAACGACTATTTATAAAAGAACTACCAACCTTGTTCCTTTCTCTTTTATCCTTTTCCGAAGGAAACATGAAGGAGGAGGAGAAAAGGAAACTAACAATTTTGATTAAGTAAGAAAGAATCTAATAATTTTTAAGGGAAACAATCGCCGATAGCGATAGAGTAACGAGTGGCGCGTGCCGTGTCACGTGTCCTCCCCTATGCTCGCTCAAACATTATACACGAGATGGTGCGTGCAAAATAAGTCTTGCTTAATTGCGACGGCTGTTCCATTAGAGATTAAACTTCAAACGAGACTCGGTCAGATTCGTTTGGTTAATTAAGGCGACTCACCGAAATGTAACACCGTCTTTGTATTTCTTTTCATTTCGCTTACAAGACAAAAGCCATACTGTATATCATACGATCGCCTTAGCTTGATATTAGTCACGAATAACCTATTATCGTTCGTTGTAATTGATCGATCGAAATTTCCTCGTTGTTCGAAATGAGAGGGACAGAAATCTGTTTGTCCGACCAATACGGACAAAAGATGCAATAGCGAGATTGTTTGACTACTAACATCAATGTGTTACGTATATCCAAAAGAACGATTCTTAATTTCTGGTTAGTCTTTTCACCGTGTCACGTACTGTTTACACCCCATTGCATAAATCTAATCACGCGCAATTATCATTTATAAAATTGAGATCGTAAGTTTCATTATGTGTCGATTTGTAATAAACTATAGATAGAAATAGTTACCAAAATTTTAATGTATCCTTTAAAACGACCATCAAAACGATATACATGTAAATTCACCTGATCGAAACTAAACCAAATGTTCATGTACTTGTAGTAATAGTACGAATGCGCAAAGTAGTCAAATATACGCGAGGATAAAGGGAAAAAAGCAGATAATATCAAATATCAATACATAATTTTCAAATTACAAAAATAACAAAATATACATGAAACTTTTACTTATCCTTATTTAAATACTTTTTATACTTCGCATGAAAATCTTAATGAAAATAAATCATCTAAATCCATTATATCTTTTAAATATAACAAAAAAATATACTTATCGTATTGCATAATACATATATCACTGCAATACGATAAATGCATTTAGCAAAAATCCGATATATTTTATTTACAAATTGTTTCAGAAATAAAATTAATCAAGAATCAAAGAATGGTTCGTGTAACTTATTCGCATCATATGGTATATTGCTCTTATTTCCTGGTAATAACATTGGCACTGTTTTAATGCGAAGACTATATGGAAAGAAATTATGACAAAAATGATAAAAATCGTTTCGTGTACGAATAATACCGAGACGTGCCATTTCTTTCATTAACATAACAAGTTCGGATTTATAATGCAAGTACGATTTACTTTTGCTAATGAACGTTGTTATGTTCGACAATTGATGTATAAATTTTTCTGAAATAGCTTTCGTTTCTAGTTTGTATTTAGGTTTCATACGTTCCCATAAATAATTATAAAGTTGATCAGTGACCCAGTGTTGAGGGCGAGGAAGTCGCCTCACTTTGTACACTTGTCCATTTACCAAGAAAGCTTTATGGATTGGTTTCGCTGGTTTCGTTAAACCTTGCTTTTGAGACGTCGAATTTTTACCCTTTCCAGCCTCCTTTATATTCTTTTGTAGCATGGCCCGTTTTCTTTCATACTTCTTTTCATTCGCCTTCATGTGTGCTATTTCCAATTTCTTCATTTTTTCTAATTCTCGATTTATTTCTTCTATTTTCATTTTATTTTTAGACAATTGCGACGCCGATAATGCTTTATCCGATATCAGAAAGTTCCTAATGCTTTGTTGTCGTTTCGAAGCATTACTCTCCGTGTTTATACGCGTTCTGATCACCGATGACAAATTTTCAGGTTTACTCGATGCTTCCTTACAATTTTCTTCAATTTTTTGCCCTTTGCTAACAGACAAGTGTGATGTGCTTGCTCTAGATGGTTTTTCAACGTTATTTTTATCTTTATCGGTATGCTGTGATCTATTTTCAATTTCTTGATTACGAGAACTAATTGAAATACTTTCTTTCCCTTTACTTAAATTTTCCGTTTCGAAATTAAAAGTACATCGATTTCTCTTATTAGCAGAAATACTTGAATTCGATGCAAATCGGTTATCCAATTTTTTCGTTGCATCATTTCCTTCCACTAATTCATTTAAACTGTTTAAATTTCCATAAATTTTATTACTTGACGCATTGGATTTTTTTGTACTTGACAAAATTAATTGATCTTTCGATATATTGAAACCACCGGTTACAAATATTTTCTTAGTATTTTCTTGGTTTTCAACTGGATCATTTTCATCTTCGCTTAACTCATTCAAATGCACTTTCTTTTGCCGTTTCGATTTACGTACAATCTTCTCCATTTCAAGTTCACTATCTGACCTGTTGAATGAATATGTTCTTTTTCTAGCTTTATCAAAAATATTATTTTGTCTACTTGAAATATTCTTTACCACACCCTCAAATTGTTTCGACGCTTTATTTACATTATCTTCTTGCTTAGCTGTACTATCTTCGATTAATCCTTCTATCATGTCTTCTTTCATAAGTAAATCCGAACATTTTTTTAATGTATTCGAACGATTTTTTCGACTATTTGAAATATCTTTAGTCAATGGTGCTTCTGTCTCATCATTCTGCATCCTACTCAGGCTCCTGATATTATGGTGATCAGAGTTTTCATCCCCTTCCAGATCTCTCACGTTCGTAAAACGAGAAAATGAACGTTTTGATGCCATACTTGAACTCTTGATTTGATTTTCCGAGATATCATCAGTTTCTGTTCGTTCATCCACTTCCGTAACAAACGAAGCTGATAGTTTTCGTATTCTATTTATGCTCCTGGTACTCTTTTGTGGAATGCTTATTTTATCACTTATTTCTGCAACTAATTGTGCCTGCACTTTACTCGAGTTTCCGGTATTCTTCTGCGACGTACTTTCAACATCATCTCTCTCTTCCTCGCTTGTGGAATCCAAAGATAATTTCTTCGATACTTTACTCAAACTCTTGCTTCGTATTTTTGAAAAGTCTTTAATTTTTTCATCTATTTTTGCGACAGGTGAAAGAGAGTGTTCCTGCATACTATTTAATCTCTTGGTATTTCTTTGCAGCATGATTTTAACATCTCTTCCCTTATGCTCAGTCGTTGGACGTGAAAACCTATATTTTCCTAATTTACTCGAACTTTTACCTTGTCTTTTTGAAATGTCTTGATTTTCTGTTGATTCACCCGTCACTGCAGCAGGCGAAACTGATTGTTTCTGCATGCGACTCGAACTTTCGATACTTCGCTGTGGCGTGTTTTCGATATCTCTCAGCTCTTGCACGATTGTAGAATCCAAAGACGAATGCTTTGACAAAGTGCTCAAACGTTTGCTTTGTCTTTTCGAAATACTTTGAATTTTTGTTGATTCAACCGTTTCTGCAGCAGGCGAAACTGATTGTTTCTGCATGAGATTCGAACTTCTGATACTTCGCTGCGGCGTGCTTTCAATATCTTCCAGTTCTTGTTTACTTGTAGAATGCAAAGATGAATGCTTTGACAAAGTGCTCAAACGTTTATTTTGTGGTCTTGAAGTATCTTGAATTTTTGTTGATTCACCTGTCTCTGCAGCAGGCGAAACTGATCGTTTCTGCATGCGACTCAAACTTTCGACACTTCGCTGTGGCGTGTTTTCGATATCTCTTAGCTCTTGCACGATTGTAGAATCCAAAGACGAATGCTTTGACAAAGTGCTCAAACGTTTGCTTTGTCTTTTCGAAATACTTTGAATATTTGTTGATTCACCCGTTTCTGCAGCAGGCGAAACTGATCGTTTCTGCATGCGACTCAAACTTTCGACACTTCGCTGTGACGTGTTTTCGATATCTCTTAGCTCTTGCACGATTGTAGAATCCAAAGACGAATGCTTTGACAAAGTGCTCAAACGTTTGCTTTGTCTTTTCGAAATACTTTGAATATTTGTTGATTCACCCGTTTCTGCAGCAGGCGAAACTGATTGTTTCTGCATGCGATTCGAACTTCTGATACTTCGCTGCGGCGTGCTTTCAATATTTTCCAGTCCTTGTTTACTTGTAGAATGCAAAGATGAATGCTTTGACAAAGTGCTCAAACGTTTGTTTTGTCTTTTCGAAGTATTTTGAATTTTTGTTGATTCACCTGTCTCTGCAGCAGGCGAAACTGATCGTTTCTGCATGCGACTCAAACTTTTGATATTTCGCTGTGGCGTGTTTTCGATATCTCTTAGCTCTTGCACGATTGTAGAATGCAAAGACGAATGCTTTGACAAAGTGCTCAAACGTTTGTTTTGTCTTTTCGAAGTATTTTGAATTTTTGTTGATTCACCCGTTTTTGCAGCAGGTGAAACTGATTGTTTCTGCATGCTACTCGAACTTCTGATGCTTCGCTGCCGCTTGTTTTCAATATCTTCCAGTTTTTGTTTACTTGTAGAATGCAAAGATGAATGCTTCGACAAGTTTCTCAAACGTTTGCTGTGTCTTTTCGAAATACTTTGATTTTCTGTTGATTCACTCGTCTCTGCAGCAGACGAAACTGATTGTTTCTGCGTGCGGCTCAAACTTTCGATACTCCGCTGCGCCGTATTTTCGTTATCTTTTAGCTCTTGCACGATTGTAGAATGCAAAGACGAATGCTTTGACAAATTGCTCAAACGTTTGCTTTGCGGTTTTGGAGTATCTTGAATTTTTGTTGATTCTTTTCCTTCTACAGCAAACGAAACTAGTTGTTTCTGCGTCTTACTCGAACTCCTGGTGCTCTTCTGCGATGTGCTTTCAACATTGTCGTCTCTTCGTTTGCTCATAGAGTGTAAAGATGTAGGAGATACATGGTCTGATGGAGATGCTATTAATGTGTCGACGTTGTTATTTTCTTCAAATATGTCCTGAAATGGATTCTTTTTTTGGTTTTTGCGCAATCTTGTCAAAAATTTTGATTTGACTCTTTGAACTGCAGAATGATCTCGATTTATATCTGATTCTTCGTTTGATGTGATTGAATCTTCTGAAACTTTACGTTCGTCTACCTTGCTTGTACTTAATACTTTAATTTTTTTTATGTGCTCATCTTGATTTTCATCCATGGTATCTGCAGCTGCTTTAGAAATCTTTGACAATTTCAACGAATGTTCCAAAATTTCACCAGCTGTCACACTACTTTGTATTTTATTAGAAGACCTGTCCGTTTCAAATACATTTTCAAAGAGATTTTTCTTTGTATTCTTATAATTGTGCGTCAATAACCTAGATCTTGGTTTGAGTATTTTATAAATTGTATTACTATTATTACTTTCATTACTACTATTATAGACAGACGAAGTACTATCTTCAAGTATTGTACTTTGTGCTTTTGGTGGTGGAAAAGGGGAAAGATTCTGTTCATTCTCAAGAAATAATGGATTCTGAATTGACATTGCTTGACTAAGGACTGTATTTACAGTTGTTGCAGAATCTGCGCTTTCCGTTATGATTTGTGCTGCATTATTAGAAGATATTTTTCTCTTCAGTGAAGTTTCTGATTGATTTTCTTTTAATATATCAATAAATACATTTTTATTTCGATTTTTATAGTTTTTCTTATAGATATTGGGTTTTAATTTTAAAACGTTACTGATTTCACTTTGGTTTAAACTACTTTCTTGTATTTCATTATTCTGCTTGGCATTATCTTGATAACTTGGCGTTACCTTCTGCACGACATTGGCAACATTTTTACTATTTGATGCAGGGATATTCATTGAATTCTTACTTTCAGTCTTTTTATCTGTAGTAGTTTCAGAATCATTTAAAACATTTACAAAAATATTACTTTTGTTTTTCCTTGTTTTTGAACGTATAGGAACTTTTTTTTTTACAATTCTTGATTCTTCTTCTGATTCTGATGTTGATACATTATTAGAATCTAACAAAATATCATAATTAATGCCAAATACTTTTATAATATATCATACATAAAGTAAACGTACCCTTCTGCATATTATCTATATTATTTTTTGTAGAATTTGGATTATTTGAGACTTCTAGCACTTTCCACCACTCATCTGCAGCTTGGCTTGTTTCTATTTGCGAGGTAGAATCTAATTGTTGACTTGTTTGATTGAATATATTCGAATCTATAGATGGGCGTGCTATTGAATTATTATCTAAGTCCTTCCACCAATATGGGTATTCTAAAATGCAAGGATATCATAATACACTTAGTTTCATATGGAGATCTAACCTATAAAACTATTAAACAAATGCATACCTTCACCCAAAATATCCGTGTCAGAATTTAAAATATCAGAACCAGTACTGTTCCTACTATATCCAGATAAACGTTTATTTAAACATTTTCGTTTAGCCATTTTTTATAATTAGCTTCAAATATTATTTTATATTTTCCTGAAAGCTATTATTTTTCTTATCACAATACCGGTTCGTACAACTTCCTTCTTTTCTTTATCTGTTTTCTTTCTTCTCACAAAGTTGTAATTATCCAGTAGTTTAATTGAAGATGGGGTAACATAAAACAAACATATAACATTTTCTAACGCGTTTTCATTACACAATATTATATACTATGCGTTGCAGAGAAGAAGTACGAAACTTTGACAAAGGAAAATGGGGGGGGGGGGCGGTATTCCGCTCTTCTATGACACTACCGAACCGCTACCTTCAGGTTTGGTAACGTTATACGCTAACATTGGCGAAAGATATTTCTAAAATTTCTATATTCGAATGCAAGTCTGCAAACATGAAAGTAATAGTGTATGAGCAAAACATGATTATTTTTTCACATACTTCATAAATATTAAACACATATTTTATATGTGTACGAAATATAAATATAATTAAATAAAATTAGGAAATGAACATTCATGAGAAGAATATGAATTTAACGATTTAAGGCTAAGTCTACACTCTTGCATCTATTTGTTGCGTCTGTTTCACTATGTCTCCATTATTTTGTTCGCTTTTTTTGTCAAATGATGCAATATGGTCAGTCTAATAGGAAGGGATTATTTCTGCCAATTAGGGAAACGCGTTTACTTTAATTCTGCGATGACGTTGCAATGGGTGGGTTGGTGGAAATTCGAACCTACGTATCGCTCAAAAGGAGAGTGCAAGTCCATCGGGTCACTGATTTAGTTGAAACTTTGCAGGATTGTAGATATCGTTACGCAGTTTAAGAAAATATACCATTATAACCGTAACTATTCAATAGTTTTCGAAATATTTAAAATTAATGCGATACAAAATAATTAGATTTATTTCTACTGGTTTCTAACCAGAGTTGTAGCATAACGGCGATATTTAAGAATTCATGTGATGGTGGACCGGGGTTCAATTCCATTCATGTCAATTTTTTTTCAATCTATTTTTTATTTTGTATTCATTTCTCGCCTATGAAAACATTGTAAATACACAAATATAAATGAAATTTCTTAATAAAAAAGATTACTATTTACGCTTTCTTATGCTAGTATGTATTTATTACAAAATAATAAGAATATTATGCAAGAGAAATACTTTTCTACAGCGATCTTATTTACTACAGAAGATACAAAACTATAGCTCGTGTAATTATTAATTATTAAATTAAACATCCTATAAGAATGTTGCCTATAATTCCAACCTTGCTGTGAAGCTATAAATATTAATAAATTAATTGGAAAAGCTTGGCAATTTATTAATTTTCTACTGTCGAATTGATATCTAGTATCCAGTTCGAATAAAAATGTTACCGCCTGCGATCAGCGCCATCTATGATTTTGGAATAGTTTCTCAAATAGTTTACTAACTCTGGTTACGTGCACCTAATATATCTTAATTTATTTTAATAAATAAAATCATAAAGTTTTCTACATTCTTTAAAAAATTCAGCCGAAACAGCGGTTTTAATTAGACAATCAGCATTCATTTCTTTACCTGGCAGACGACAAATATACAAAGGTACGTCTTTACAACGCAATTATAAAATTTCATAAATTCAACACAGAAATTGAGCGATTTGTTAATTTTGCTCCAAGTGAGCAGGAGAGTGCATAGGAAATGAGAAAAAATTACAATCAAACGCCGGAAGCATTGTTCTGTCCATGCAGGTGTGCCTGCATCGCGAAAAGAATGTAAGTATTTGTATGAACATAACCTTTAGTTATAGTTGAATAGTGTAAGTTAAAAAAGACAATATTCTGTTGAAATAAACAGGCACGTGCAACAATAGAATAATATTGGACTCATGGAATATCATCAGCGTAGATGCCAAGAATTATACTTTATAGCGAGAAAAAATTGAAGCAGCAATCTAAATACGTAAAGTATGATACGTCTATTACATTCTAGGTCGGTTAACCATATGACAGACAAGATAGAAATCTTTGATGATCAAATGAAAATTCAGAAAATGGAGATGGTTTAGGCAGACGAAAAGGAATACAATTAATTTAGGTTATGGCCTCTTATAACAAGATATGGAGAATACAGTGAGATTGAAAGGTATGTTGTGTTCCTGATATAAATGAATATTAATATCAGTGGTCAAAGTCAATGATCATCGCTAATGTGTTAAGGTTGAATAAAAGGAATGAGAAGAGGAAACGAATATTATGTCAAATCAAGAAACAGAAAAGAGGCAGCATATGTATCAACAGAGAAACATGTGTGGCATTGACTTGCAAATATGAGGATCCTTGAAGAGATGGAGAATGAACAATTGATAATAGTTATGAAAGGTAAAGTTGAATTGCATATAGAGTGTAAATGTTGCACTAAGGCAAAAATGTCTAGTGATATCTATAGGGACTTGGAAATTATAAAAGAAGCAATTACAATGGTGCTGTGGCACATCATGGACTTCATTGGGCCAATAAAGCCAATGTCAAAAAGAGTTAAAAGGTATTATTATTCGAGAAAAGAACCATTTGGTTGACTGATTTATAAATAACTAAAGATTTCATATGAAACATTATTGATGAAGGATTTTTTCTATTATA